TGATTTGCGTGCAGCATAGCCAGTAGATTACTTCTTAGTCAACGTGCCTTTCCAGATGCGCAAGTACCTACCAAGAGTACTCTTGTTGACTTCACGGACTGGAGAGAAGCGACGAGCTGGATTAGGAGCCTCAGAAAGCCCGTAGTCGGCTAAAGCGGACTTGTGAAGGAGGCGATGAAATAAGCTGGAACTCAGCCTGGTTGTGGAGATTGCTAGCGGCCAGGAACTTCCTACAACCACTGCGAACGAAGAAGAGCAGCCCCTAGCGTGCATGGTGAGGAAATATCCGTGTGATTCGAGTCCAAGGGGAGAAGGCACTTGCATACAGTTTATCCTGAGCGTAGCAACAGCGCCCAGAGGTATGAAGAGACCTGCAAATTGTGCCAGGGTGCGGACCATTAATCTATGGCTTGTGTTACACGGCCAAAGCCGCCGGCATGCTCGTAGTAGGACAGGACAGTGAGTTGCTGAGCAGGCTCCCACGTAGCCTCATCCTCAGGGAAGACTCATCACTTCACTAGGTAGTGAGTGCTCCCCCGGTCCCATATGTAATCAACTTCGTCCTTGTTGTTCAGGCTACCAGCTGCTTTTAGCACTGCAAGCCAACAAAACTTAGCTTCTTTAGCGACTGTGTGAGGTTTGCGATGGCGGAGTGGGACAAGTCAGGAAGCGTGGAATCTTCATTTCATGAGAATGCCAAGAGAAGTTCCGCGTAGTGTACCACAGTCCCGACGTTCTCTGTGGTAGTGCACAGGCAGCGGCAACAAGGGTCGACGCTTCATTCATTAGGCGCTAGCGGGTAAGTGTTTGCTGCTGAGCCAAACCTTGAATAATATGATGCGTTCGATGGCGAGCCCTTTTGAGTTACTATATGCCTTTTTTTGCCATGTCGATTGTAGAGCATGATTACTGGCCGGGTCACAGAGTTGTTGAAACGGGGTGGTCACTGGGGTTATTGCAGAGGTGCCGCAGAGCTGACAGTGTCAAGGAGTGCTGCACTAAGACTTTAACCTATCATGACTTCAAAGGAAAAAACTTTGACTGAGGGTGGAGGGCTCAGGGCTGGTCGTATCATGTCCCAGTTCGAGGGCTGGAAAGTGACGCTGGTGATTTCGTTAGCTCCTCTCGTCAGGTGGAGTGTGGCCGCGAAACAGTTGCTCCAGCGTACGATTAACGCATTTGGTTTGCCTTGGAGCTGATACCCGGAAGGAGTGGCCGGCTTCACGTTGAGCTGGTTGTAGAGCTGCAGCAGTATAACTCTTTGTTTTGCTCCTGAAAATGTAAACAAAGCCTAGCCTCTGGATGCGTGGGCTCTCAGAGACTGTCTTCGGAAAGATAGAATCCATATACATGGCAGCATTGAGCTCTGCTGACGTGAAAAGCCGCTGTCTTTCCTAGTTGTCCCACAAGCATTTGTTTAGACCGCCGTCAGAAGCTTAGTCAGGATGGCCTTTCAGCTTGGTGCTAGTGGTGGACTAAATTACACGCAGCACGGCTGTTCACTGACCTCTAGGTTTATTACACAAGCTTTATGTTTAAAAGAATATATTGGCTGAGCATGAGGCTGCTACAAGTAAGCGGTCGGCCAGCTGTCCGCCTACGCAGCCATGAAATGCACCACCAACAGAGCTAAGGGAAACCTCGAGCAGTTTCCTTGTAGAAAGATAAACAGCAGGCAAGCTCACAGTGCCAATTGGCGAGCAGAGAACGGCGTGAGGGCATCTGCACGTCCATTCATCTTCTTTTGAGTGTTTAGCGATGTGCGACAGGCGAACGAGAGAAACTGAGCCATGCGTATATGGTAGAGTATGTTTTCGCCACAAGTTGCGAAAGCTCTAAAGACGCAGCTAAGCCTTTGCCTCGTGTTGTTGACATTTACAGTGGGCAGCTGTGCTCTGCATAGTCAAGGCACCGTAGCTCGGTTTTACCCGATTCTTTCATTATCCGAATTACCATGTTTACCCACATGCCATTATTTTCGTACTCTGAAACAATCGACAAATAGTTTTAGGTCCATTCTACGACACGAAATATGCCCCTTCCTGTTTCACTTCCCCATCGCTTTTCTTCCGTATGCTTGTCCTTTTTTGCCTATGCGTCTTCCCTCGCAGCCTCCGCTACCCTTTCCTTTCGTGTAAGTGCGTCCCATGATTACCTTCTAAAAGGTTGCTTCCATAATTTTGCCCTCTCTTGTTTTATGTCATTTTGCTGTGTTGCCTCACTTTTTTGCCCCTTGACACGCCTATCTGTCTCCTTCTAGTTATTTCTTTTCCCTTTAAGTTCCTGTGTTTGCTCTAATTTTCTAACTATACTGTATATTTTTCCTTTTGTCTGTCTACTTATCTCCTCCAAAGCTTACCCATACAAAGTGGCGAGCTTTAAAGCCCAAGTGCTCAAATGACCTCTTCAGGTCAAACCCTAAACGGCTAAGATACAGTTTTAGCTTAGGCTGCTCCGACCAGGCGTTTTTTAACATATCCATTCCTGTATTCAGCTGTGTTAGCGCTTTAGGGTTGGCCACAATGCATTCCCACGATTTTGTTTGTACGGTAATAGCGGTTTTTAAACGCTACTAAGGCATCTTCGTGATCCCTTTATACGGCACAATACAAAACGCAATTTCAGCTTCTGTAAGCCTCACTGATTTCCCGTGGCATTTTGCCGGGGGAAACTGACCACTTAGCGAATGGACTCGCAAGAAGTTGAAGCCGAGTTGGAAAATGAAGTGTCAACTAGCAACCAGCCGGCCGTGGCCATGGAAACTCATATAAAGACTTCTCTGGCGTTTAAAATTGGCGAAATATACGGCGATGACAGGAAGGCCAACTGTACTGTGACGGTGCTGTAGCTGTATCGATCACCTGTCCTGTTCGCTAGGCTCTAGATACCGCTACACATTAAATGATAAACGGCCAACCCGCAGAGCACCTTTAGCGGCAGCCGCGTACTCAAGAGGATTCTCAACGCAGAAGGCTGTCGCAAAGAGACCTGAAGGAATCGTTAGCTCTGAGTCCTAAAGTCCCGTGTATTACGTTGGTCAAATCGGAGAGACACATGCCAAAATGGAGATGCGCAGCTTTAAGCATGCCAGAAACAGACCTAGCTCTCCTCTTACTTACATGCATGTGCGCTTATATTCAGTCAACTGACTTAACTGTGACTGCAGTTGTTCTTCTGTTCGAGCCGCCTCCTCTTTGAGTGACGTTCTGAAGCCATTTGTTCCACAGCACGCACTACATCTCTCACAGTTGTATCACTGAGCTGCAATATCACTGAGCTGCAAAAATGTAAAACACACTGTTCTTAGACTTGACCTGCTGCTATGGTGGGCTGGCTAAGAAAGGCACTGCTAAGGCAATTTTCACTACAGGAAGCCTCAGCAGTTTGGGAGACATATTTTTAGCAAAGCAAAGCTTTAGGGCTGCAGTGGCCTGCGGCTACCTTTCCGGATGTCCGCTAGCACACCGGACTAAAGAATATGCAGAACCTGAGCTTTCAGCAAAGCAATGACAACGTGTACACGAGGAAAACAGAAAAATGCACGAAATATCCCACGTCTTCCCAAATGAAGACCACCAAGTTATCAAAACTGGAGCCCATCACCAATGGTGACCCAGACACCAAGCCAACTTTGCCAAACTAGAAGTCACTGCCGCTCATTGCAGGATACACCTCATCGTACACATGGCGTGGGTGAATCACATAAGGGTTTCACTTTCTTCAAGCCAGCCCTACTCTGGCTGCCGGGAAGCTGCACTGGAGATGCACGCGCCAGTTTGATGTTAGTGGCGCACGACTGCATCTGCTTGACCACACATTTTAGCGATGGAATTACACAACATGGATTCCAATGAAGCATAGAAAGTCCTGTCAGATTCGAATCCGCTCCACGTTCACTGCGACCAAGCACAGTGGTTTGACTGCAATCTACTGTGCATACTTTATGAAGCAAACGATGGAGTTCAGCACACTGTACATATATTAGAGCTCGCTATGTGAGGCTATGTATTTATTGCCTCACATAATGATTTTTGCATCGTAGCGCTGCTTCGCCTTCCATAACCGCTGCTTTCAGCACTGGTGTCTGGGGCAGAGCAGAGAGAAGGCCGTTTCCTTCACCTGGGTGCATTCATGCGTTAGCACTCGAAAGTGCAGCTTTTCGTTTTGCGGTTAATCAAACAGGAAGACATGGATAGCCACGCTGGAGTCAAACGAAGCATTGATCAGCCCATACTGAAACAGAGGTCCACAAGATAGTAAGTGCGAGGGCCGCCAGATGCCAGTTTCAAAGTTCCGCGTGGGCCTTCAGCACAACTTTTCCAAAACACTGCGCAGTTTGGGGTCTCTCAAGCACGACGGAGAATTGGTTTGTTTGCCCTTGGGGCACTGCAGCACACCAAAAGAGACGCCACCCACAACCATTGCACAATAAGGAAATGCACTTCAAAATCTTGAAAGAAATTTTGTTCACTTCATCGACATCATTAAAGGCTACTATAATAATCAGCTACGCTTGAGATGTAGGCAACACGGGAAGAGGGCAGGGCCGATAATGCCCAATGATAGCTTTCTTTAAAATTCTGTGTCCACTTACTGCGTGTCTCTTGAGCTTGTGTAGTGACCCTGGTGACGAGTACTCGAAACAATTTTGTGACCAGTTTTTTAAACTGCGACAGGCAATGAACCGTGCAAAAGTAATACATGATACGGCAAGGGAGTCAGTTTTGTCTTTACGCGCAAGGGGACCATTGAAGCGTTGATCCACTGACCTTTTCAACATCTGCTTTTGACTTTCTCGTGAGTTTCGCATTACCAGGCTTGAATTCCTGCATCAATATACGCTAGCGAACAACGTTTCGTGGCATGGAAACGCTTCGGTCTTTTCTTTTTATCTATTTCTTTAGGGACAAGGGTGGGGAGGCAGTCTATGAGGCGGGAACACTGGAAGCATACAATCTCTTCAATGGTCAATTGCAGGAAAATTGGATGTTCCCAATTCTTCAGAGGGTATTCCACTTCGCGGCGCTCTGCGAGACCATACAGAGTAGTCTGCACAAAGGGATGAAGAGCTCGAAATGGGGAGAACATCCTCTGAGGACACCAGGTGTAAAGCAGAGCTCCTGCATTCTTGTTGGGATTAGAACTACTGCCGCTGTGTGCCATTAAATTTTTAGAGGTCTACTTGGTGAATCAGGCAACTTGCCTGCAGTTAGCTGCTGGTGTGCAAAGCAAAGAGAACCAGCAACGTCCTGGAGCTCTTTCAACGCCTTCTGCAGCTTTTCCCCCTAAAAAAGCAAAGTGGATTAGAATGGTAAACAAATTGTTAATGTTTTACTTCACTCTTTACTGCGTGCACACTAGTTAACTCTTTGACACCAACAAAAAGTTGTTTACACACTTCCCCGCTAATGAGGGAGCTCAGTCCAAAGTAAGAAACAGCTGGTGGCCCCATTAAAGTGTCGTTTGCTTTTCCTGTTGCTAAGGCTTCTGCTCCTACGTTTCCGACCTACTTCAGATTCCCTCGTACAGGACACGTTCTGGCGGCTAGACTTTCTTTTGAACCGGAAAAGGCGTCGCTCTTTGCTTGGCATGGGCGGATGTAGTCCGCCCGATTTGGTGGGGCCGCGCTTGTTGGTGGGTGCACTGCTTGCACCATAATCTGTTGTTGCTGCTGTTGCTCCTGCAGGCTCTTGAAGAGAATGCTTTTTCGCTCCAGACGTTCTGCCAGGACTTGAACACGGCGCTTCCGATTTGCTTACACCAGACTGCTGTTGCTCCCTGTACGTGGCGGCCGTTCTTCCAGCGAACGGCGAGCCGACGTCTTCGAGCTGCTCAAGATGAACACTGTTTGAATCATCCCCAACGCGCTGGTCTCGTGTTGGCCCTGACTCTGCTGTTTCAGGTCCGAAAAGCGGATGAATCATTTCTTCATCAGACAAGCCTTCCGCACCGTCGTATGCTTGACTTTCATCATCTGCACCTGTCGCCGATGCAGCTGCTATGGGAGCAGACGTCCAGCCGGTATGCGGGCTTTCATCGCCTACGTTAGCCTTTGCAGGTGCTTCACCTGGCGCGTTTCTGGACTTTTTGCGGCCAAACCATGACGTTCCCTGCATAAAGATGCCAACATGCCGTCCATGCAAGGGTTGAGGTGCTCCTTCGCGGGAGCCTGCCTCTTCGGACGCTTCACTCCTGATGCCTCCGCCGGTTTCTGCAGTTGCTACATCTGAAGCAGCTGCTGCTGCAGCGTCTCCAACTGTCGCCTGAACAGTTCGCACTGCGTCAACAAGCTCATCCGCAGAAGAGCCGCTGGCACTATTGCCTGGTTGAATTGGTGCATCTGTTTTCGGCATCCCCTGTTCACCGTCGCGGTCGGCGCTATCCTCCGCATCTGCTTTGATCCCTGCGTCACATTGGACAGAAGCTCGTGCACCGTGTGTTAGCTCTAGAAGGGGCGTCAATGGAAAGCTCAAAAGACAGCAGTGTAGGGCAACGAAGCAACAGCGAAGAAAAAGCATCGACGCAAGGCTCACCATTTGTCTTCAGAGAAGCTTTGCCTATGCTGGCTCCGCCAGCCTGCTTTTCCAGCACTGTAGAAAGGCGGCCTGTTTTCCGCTCTGGAACTGCAGCACCAACAAGTCAGGCCTACATTGCTTCAGGCTTAACAACACACTCGAAAATCAAAGGAGGTTTACATTTTCTGCAGCTGGTACAACTGCAACTGCTGCAGCACGCAACATCAAGACTGACTGCTTTCACTGCCTACGCTAGCCTTTGCAGGTGCTTCACCTGGCGCGTTTCTGGACTTTTTGCGGCCAAACCATGACATTCCCTGCAAAAAGATGCCAACATGCCGTCCATGCAAGGGTTGAGGTGCTCCTTCGCGGGAGCCTGCCTCTTCGGACGCTTCACTCCTGATGCCTCCGCCGGTTTCTGCAGTTGCTACATCTGAAGCAGCTGCTGCTGCAGCGTCTCCAACTGTCGCCTGAACAGTTCGCACTGCGTCAACAAGCTCATCCGCAGAAGAGCCGCTGGCACTATTGCCTGGTTGAATTGGTGCATCTGTTTTCGGCATCCCCTGTTCACCGTCGCGGTCGGCGCTATCCTCCGCATCTGCTTTGATCCCTGCGTCACATTGGACAGAAGCTCGTGCACCGTGTGTTAGCTCTAGAAGGGGCGTCAATGGAAAGCTCAAAAGACAGCAGTGTAGGGCAACGAAGCAACAACGAACAAAAGAGACAAGCTGAAGGATCACCAAATATCTTCAAAGAAACTTTGCCTGTGCAGGCTGCAGCAGCTGGCTTTTCTAGCATTGTAGAATAAAATTCTGTACGGCCGTTGGGCACTGCAGCACACACAAATCAGCCCTGCGAGCCTGCAAACTCAGCAGCACACTTGAAAAAAAAGTTGTGCGGCCACACTGTGCAGGCTCAGGGGATGCCCAAGTTGCGAACAAGCCCTTGAGAAGTAGAAGACAGCAACTGGAACACATCCTGGTTGAAGTTTCAGGTCTACCTACTTTTTTTCTGTTGCGCATGATCTGAAACCGTGACGCTCAGCTCTTCCGCTAGGGCCAACAAATCGCGGGTAAACTGCAATGTCATTATCACCCCACAACAACGCTTTGCCAATGGTCCCAACTGCGGTTAAACGCCCCACTGCCGCGGCAGGACTGGAAGACTAACCCGATTAGACTAACCCTCTCAGGAAACCGTCTGCTAAACGGATTGTCTGAAACGATTCTCCCCCTCAATTGGCCTAAGGCGCCTTGAATTATCATATCCTGCAAGGAAATCGCAGATACACCAGACGCAGCTGGCACTGCTCCAGGCGTTGCACTAAAACAAGGCATTCATCTCTCCAAATTGCTGTTTGCCTGCCTGCTGTTCCTTGTAGGCAAAAATATGGTGTGGAGTGAGCAATAAACGAGGTACTTACTTCCTCCACAATCTGAAGATACAAGGTCACTCTCCCAACGCCGCTTATATCGCAGTCCGCCTTGACCGTAGCTGCAGGAGCCCCCAATATACGCAGGAGAGGGCAGTAAATGTTAACTCCAAGCGTGCAAGCCACAGTTCAAGGAGCTCTTCGTGTGCGGAAATTCCGGAGCATGCTTATCTGCACTAACTCATGCAGGCGCTGCCGGTGCTGCTGCAGCTGTTGCTAAGCATTCATTCAAGCAAAATCAATGACTGTCTTGGGTATCTTACCTTGAAATGGTTCGGTATGGGGAGAGCAGAGGTCACCGATGGATTCTGCAAGCTTCAGTAGCTCTCTTCGTAGCTCGGTATAGTTCTGAAATGAGCAATGCACACGACGCTCACCGCGTCTAGGGGGCTGTTAGAGCAGCACTAAACAACCATAAATTAAACAACACTCACTGAATTCCATGAGGGCCGGCGTGGATAGGAACCATGCTGATGGTTTTGTTGCTGTTGCTATATTGTGGACATACTTCTGCTTTGAGATGCGGGAAGTCATAAGGTTTTTGCAAATCTTTGTAGTGGGGCGACCTCGAATCGCCTACGGCCAACTTCGCGTTAAAACGCCACGTGTCCTCAGGTTGAGATGCTTCTGAGCTGCTGGCAGCAGTCTCACCTGCTACTCCTCCTGCTGCTGGGCTTGCTGCCACAGCAGACTTTGGTGCTAAGCTAGATACTTTTCTGCCAGCAGATTCCAAGAGGCCAGTCAGCGGCCTCACCCACCTCGCACGCCTAAGCCTATCCACTTTACGTTTCACAGATTCCCTTCCATGAGCTCCCGGAGCGTCGTGCGGCTCGGCGATTGTGCTCTCGCCACCGTTGTTGGACCTACCTCGACGACTACATACAATGTCATAAACAGGAGTGCTGCAATTGCTGTTGGAGTCATCGTCCTCGTCATCTGCTGCTGCTTCTGGAGCTGCTAAGCTAGATATTTTCTTGCCAGCAGATTCCAAGAAGCCAGCCAGCGGCCGCATCCATTTCGCACGCCTAAGCCTACCCATTTTACTTTTCACGGATTCCCTTCCAGGAGCTGCCGGAGCATCGTGTGACTCGGCGACTTTGCTATCGCCATCGTTGCTGGTCCTACCTTGACCACTACATACAATGTCATAAATAGGAGTGCTGCAGTTGCTGTTGGAGTCATCATCCTCGTCATCTGCTGCTGCTTCTGGAGCTGCTGCCGCAGCATCGCCAGATGATTCGTCTTCACAGCTGATGCTGACGCCTTCCTCTGCCGCTCCGGTTCCTGGTGCTTGAGTGCTCGCTGCGTCTGACTGTGGAGGAGACTCGTCGTGGACGCCGGGTGATGTTTGACGGTCATCAATTCTCAGGTCTCCACATGGATTGTTTTCATCATCGTCCTGAGTGACGCGCCAAAAATCGCACGCGGAGAGTGGAGCACAGGGGTGAGACAGAAACTATACATGACATAAGGCTGTTGGCCCTGATACATTTGGAGTGGAGATTTCCTACACCTACCGAGAGCGAGGAAGAGTCGCCACCCCAGTCGACATCCGCAATCCTCCGCCCATGTTTCGATGGGTGCTGTAATAGACGTCGACCGCAGAGAGCCACCAAAAGGACGATGGTGGAGTAAACTAGCAGCTTTAGCGCTGTGGAACGCTTCCAATGCACCTCTACTACTGGCAAGCCACGCCCTGAAATAGGCCGAGTAGCCTGAGGGAGTAAACCTGAGTCCCGATTATTTGTCGGGCTAGCGAACCAGTCATAATGCAATTCCTCCCCCATGAGTGTCAAATAAGGAGCTCAGAGGAGTCAAAACCCTTAAGTGCGTGGCCCCGTAACATACGGCTTGAATTGAGGAGTTGGAACGGAAGCGAACTTGCCCAGACGTATTCAAAGGGGATGTGGTGTTGTAGATGTTGGCTATTTTTAAATTTTTAGTCAAGAAGAAATACAGTACGGGCTTTGACTGCCCAAGCGCTCTAGACGAACACAAAATCGACGGGCATCTGGGGTGGGAGGCCGTCCTTGTCTTACTCTAGGAACTCATTCTTGGCCAGATTACATTACCAGAAGAAATGTTTCACTGCGTCGCTGCCTAGCTATTTGCTGATGACGGGAGTCGTGAACGGAAGGGTGCCCCCTGTGTAGAGTAGTCCCCAGTGGCATGCTATGGCTGCGGCTTTTCTGAAAACTGCGGCGTTCGTTACCCTCAGTTACTCAACGAATTCTCAGGATTTTCAGGTAGTATTAAAAATGCTTTAATGTCTCACAGGAACCCCCTAGAGTAACGTATCGCGACGCATCCCTGCACAGGAGTCGTGGGCGCGGAGACTTGCGAGCGGCTTCGCACAATAAGGCCTGTGCAGCGTAGCTCGGGACTCTCTAGGGTGAAGCGCAACACCTATATTCATATACGGTACGCTATTCGAAAAGAAAATGGCTGGGAAGCGGCCGTTGTAACGCCCCGTGCACAATTGTTATGGGAGACCAGACAACGGTGGGGGTCAACGCGCGTTGAGGCAAACATCAACCAACACATGCCGCGTAAAAATGTTTTATTAGACAACACATAAGGGTCTGCCTAGTTATCTTGTATCGGAAACGAAATGTTAACGAGAAGTCGGCACGTTGGGATAACGTGAATCATGGGGCGTGCAGCGCCCCCTCGTGAGCGGAGGAACTAACTGAAGATCGTCGCATCTCAATTCTGAGAGCGCAAATTTCCCAAGAACGGCGTAAAAGCCTTTCCAGGGCGATTCCGTGTGTGTTTTCTGTTGACGCTGATGCTCAGGGTAGCGCAGTAGCCACGAAGTCTTTGTCGTCCTGGCTTGCTGAGATTAGCGAGCGCGAGCCTAGTTTTGTGCACCACAATATAGGAGTTGAGCACCAGAATAGGGGAGCAGGACCGGCTTTCAAAAATTAGGGTTTTCAGAAGAAAATAGTATTTGCCGAAAGCTCATATTCTGGGAGGACAGGGCTCTGGAAAAGTTGAAGTCACAAGACACTTTGACAAAGCCCTCCTTTCGTCTCTGTGGCAGCTCCGATCACGGCGATCACGGCGCGCGCTTTTGGCGCAATCGTAATGGCTAGTTCTATATATATGAGAGATCCGAACTACCTGGTTTGATGTAATCAGGATTATCAAGCGTTTTGGTTAACGTTAAGTTGAGTGGATGAGAACAGAAGGCAAACGGAGCACCTATGGAGCCAAGAACCTGTGCTGGACGTGATGACCGAACACCAAGCCACGTAGCCACTGACCTGTTCCGGCAACGCGCCGGAGAACCCGTGGAGTCAAACTTTCCGCGAAATCTCTTCAATTATCCGAACATCTGGATTTTGCGAATTTTTGTAGACGTCTCGTCCTTTATACGCCTCCAAACGGCGGCGTAGCAATGTTCTGCGCAGGGTGCGATCCTAGGAGAATCACACTGCCACCCCAGCTAGCCCTCCCGATCTCACGAGATAAAGCTCTCCGTACTTACCGAGGCCCCAACCTAAGGGTGCAGGCACTGAGGTTAGGCTACGATGCCGGGCATAGACTGAATATGTACGCAGTCTGGGTCGCTAGGAACAGGGCCCTTAAGCGTAGGGTATCCCGCAAGGCACTGACGTTAGGCTACGGTGCGGAGCACAGACTGAGTCTGTATGCAGCGTGCGTCGCCAGAAACCGAGCCACCTTGAAAAGAGACACTACACGCCACGGGGACCTCTGCAGCGGGAAGCGAGGAACAGATGCAGGAATGTAGTGTCCAGAAAGAAGCCCTGAGCGACTGCGTGAGGCGTGTTGACCTAGAGCGGCTTACACACGAGCAAATTGCAGGAGGCGCTGGGCAGAAAGCATTTCAGCGTGTTACTCTGTGAGCGCCTTGCAAAGGGAAAACCGCTTTGAGTCGTATGTCTCTACAATAGGGACGTCCGCAGTGCACAAGCAGTCCCGCACCCGCAATGAAGTTCGCTGCTGCTTAACTACTACTGCACGGAAAAGTAAACACAAAGGGCATGTGGTTTATGCCATGCTTCAGTGATTTATGAAGCTTATCACTGAACTCAAATCCTCTCAAATACACTGGCATAGTTCACGGTGTTCGAGGGTCTCGAGCTCTGGAGATTCAGGCAATTCTTTTAGGTTTCTCAACAGAAATGTTTGAAAGAACGTAACAAAACTTCTCGAGCATTCTTTGTCCGTCAAATATAATTGTTAACGCAGCGGTTCAGTAGACCTGAAACCCTAGCTCCGATTCGCATACGGCAACTCCTGCGTATATAATATAGAGCTCGCCGCCCTCAGCAATGAGCTCGATACTATATACCGCAAGCCGAGACCTCATCTTCACGTTTGCTACAGTTACAGTGGAATTAAGGCAAATGCCGACCCTGGTGTCGGCAGCGCAACGCCGCTTCCATCGGACGCACAAGCGAAACCTTTCTGTCCTTGATTAAACAACGCATGTAGTCACGCTTGGTTAAGCCATCACATTTGGAGGTGGCCTTTCCCATTACCTTTGCCTGTTCGGCGCTTTCTTCCTTTGAGCACAACAGCGAACAAAAAGGACTAACTTAAGGCCCACCAACTGCTGTGCCTTCAGAGAAGCTCTGCCCATGCTGGCTTCAGCAGCCTGCTTTTCTAGTACTGCAGAGAAGGGGTCTGCTTGGCGCTGTGGAACTGCAGCACAAAACAATCAGCCCTACATTGCTGCAGGATCAGCAATACACTCCAAAATCAATTGGGTTTTACACCTTCCGCCGCTGATACAAATGCAACTGCTGCAGCACGAAACGCCAGGGCGGTCTGTTTGTTCTCACTGCCAACGCTTGCTTTTGCAGGTGCTTCACCTGGTGCGTCCGTGGTTTTTCTGCGGACAAACTACGGTCGTCCCCGTAATGAGATATCAGAATTGCTTCCATGCAAGGCTTCATGCGCTCCTTTAGGAGAGCCTGCCGCTTCCGACGCTTCACTCCTGGTGCCTCCGCTGGTTCCTGCAGTTGCTACATCTGAAGCAGCTGCTGCTGCAGCGTCTCCAACTGTCGCCTGAACAGTTCGCACTGGGTCAACGAGCTCATCCGCAGAAGAGCCACTGGCACGATTGCCTGGTTGAATTGGTGCATCTGTTTTCGGCTCCCCTTGTTCACCGTCGCGGTCGGCGATATCCTCCGCATCTGCTTTGATCCCTGCATCATATTGGACAAAATCTCGTGCACTGCGTGCTGGCGTTAGACGAGGCGTCAATGGAAAGCTCAAAAGACAGCAGTGTAAAGCAACGAAGCAACCGAAAACAAAAGCAAGCTGAAGGATCACCAAATATCTTCAAAGAAACTTTGCCTGTGCAGGCTGCAGCAGCTGGCTTCTTTAGCGATGTAGAATAAAATTCTGTCCGGCCGGTGGGCACTGCAGCACACACAAATCAGCCCTGCGAGCCTGCAAACTCAGCATCGCACTTGAAAAAGTAACTTGTGCGGCTACACTGTGCAAACTCAAGGGATGGTCAAGTTACGAACAAGAGCTGACAAGTGATAGGCAAGAACTCAAGCAAGTCCGGCTTGAAGCTTCAGATACACCTACGTTTTGTCTTTTGCGCACGATCTGAAACCGTGACGCTCAGCTCTTCCGCTAGGGCCAACAAATCGCGGGTAAACTGCAATGCCATTATCACCCCACAACAACGCTTTGCCAATGGTCCCAACTGTAGCTAAACGTCCCACTGCCTCGGCAGGACTGAAAGACTAACCCTTTCAGGAAACCGTCTGCTAAACGGATTATCTGAAATTATTCTCCCCCTCAATTTGCGTAAGGACCTTTGAAATTTCATATCCTGCAGGGAAATCGCAGAAATGCCAGACACAGCTGGCAGTGCTCCAGGCGTTGCACTATAACAAGGCATTCATCTCTCCAAATTGCTGTTTGCCTGCCTGCTGTTCCTTGTAGGCAAAAATATGGTGTGGAGTGAGCAATAAACGAGGTACTTACTTCCTCCACAATCTGAAGATACAAGGTCACTCTCCCAACGCCGCTTATATCGCAGTCCGCCTTGACCGTAGCTGCAGGAGCCCCCAATATACGCAGGAGAGGGCAGTAAATGTTAACTCCAAGCGTGCAAGCCACAGTTCAAGGAGCTCTTCGTGTGCGGAAATTCCGGAGCATGCTTATCTGCACTAACTCATGCAGGCGCTGCCGGTGCTGCTGCAGCTGTTGCTAAGCATTCATTCAAGCAAAATCAATGACTGTCTTGGGTATCTTACCTTGAAATGGTTCGGTATGGGGAGAGCAGAGGTCACCGATGGATTCTGCAAGCTTCAGTAGCTCTCTTCGTAGCTCGGTATAGTTCTGAAATGAGCAATGCACACGACGCTCACCGCGTCTAGGGGGCTGTTAGAGCAGCACTAAACAACCATAAATTAAACAACACTCACTGAATTCCATGAGGGCCGGCGTGGATAGGAACCATGCTGATGGTTTTGTTGCTGTTGCTATATTGTGGACATACTTCTGCTTTGAGATGCGGGAAGTCATAAGGTTTTCGCAAATCTTTGTAGTGGGGCGACCTCGAATCGCCTACGGCCAACTTCGCGTTAAAACTCCACGTGTCCCCAGATTGAGATGCTTCTGAGCTGCTGGCAGCAGTCTCACCTGCTACTCCTCCTGCTGCTGGGCTTGCTGCCACAGCAGACTTTGGTGCTAAGCTAGATATTTTCTTGCCAGCAGATTCCAAGAAGCCAGCCACCGGCCCCATCCATCTCGCACGCCTAAGCCTATCCATTTTACGTTTCATAGATTCCCTTCCAGGAGCTGCTGGAGCATCGTGTGGCGCGGCGATTTTGCTATCGCCATCGCTGCTCGTCCTACCTTGACCACTACATACAATGTCATAAACAGGAGTGCCGCAGTTGCTGTTGGAGTCATCGTCCTCGTCATCTGCTGCTGCTTCTGGAGCTGCTAAGCTAGATATTTTCTTGCCAGCAGATTCCAAGAAGCCAGCCAGCGGCCGCATCCATTTCGCACGCCTAAGCCTACCCATTTTACTTTTCACGGATTCCCTTCCAGGAGCTGCCGGAGCATCGTGTGACTCGGCGACTTTGCTATCGCCATCGTTGCTGGTCCTACCTTGACCACTACATACAATGTCATAAATAGGAGTGCTGCAGTTGCTGTTGGAGTCATCATCCTCGTCATCTGCTGCTGCTTCTGGAGCTGCTGCCGCAGCATCGCCAGATGATTCGTCTTCACAGCTGATGCTGACGCCTTCCTCTGCCGCTCCGGTTCCTGGTGCTTGAGTGCTCGCTGCGTCTGACTGTGGAGGAGACTCGTCGTGGACGCCGGGTGATGTTTGACGGTCATCAATTCTCAGGTCTCCACATGGATTGTTTTCATCATCGTCCTGAGTGACGCGCCAAAAATCGCACGCGGAGAGTGGAGCACAGGGGTGAGACAGAAACTATACATGACATAAGGCTGTTGGCCCTGATACATTTGGAGTGGAGATTTCCTACACCTACCGAGAGCGAGGAAGAGTCGCCACCCCAGTCGACATCCGCAATCCTCCGCCCATGTTTCGATGGGTGCTGTAATAGACGTCGACCGCAGAGAGCCACCAAAAGGACGATGGTGGAGTAAACTAGCAGCTTTAGCGCTGTGGAACGCTTCCAATGCACCTCTACTACTGGCAAGCCACGCCCTGAAATAGGCCGAGTAGCCTGAGGGAGTAAACCTGAGTCCCGATTATTTGTCGGGCTAGCGAACCAGTCATAATGCAGTGCTTCCCCCATGAGTGCCAATTAAGGAGCTCAAAGGAGTCAGAACCCTGCAGTGAGTGGCCCTGTAACAAATGGCCTGGATTGAGGAGTTGGAAAGATAGCGCGCTTGCCCAGACGGTTCAGAGAGGAAGTGAGGTTATAGATGTTGGCGTTTTTCAAGTTTCTATACGAGAAGAAGTACAGTACAGCCCTTCACTGCTTAAGCGGCTCTAAACGAACACAACATCGACGGGCATCTGGGGTGGGAGGGCCGCCCTTGTCTTACTCTAGGGATGCATTCTTGGCAGGATTACAGTTCCAGAAGAAATATTTCATTGCATTGATGCCTAGCTACTTGCTGGGGACGGGAGTCGTGAGCGGACAGGTGCCTCGTGCGTGGGGTATGGGGTAGTCCCCAGTGGCTTGCTAGGGCTGCGGTTTTCCTGGGAAACTGCGGCGTTCGGGATGCTTAGTTACTCAACAAGTTTTCAAGATTTTTCTGTAGTATTATAAATGCTTTAGTGTCTCACAGTAGCGCCCTACGGTAACGCAGTACGACTCGCCGTTATGGAGGGGTTTTGGGCGAGGCAGCGAGCGGTTTCGCACAAAAAGCCTATGCAGCGTAACTTGAGAGTGTCTGAAGACACCAACATGTGTAGCGTACAAATGCTTGAGTAGAGGGCACAAAAGCGTTTCCCTAAGATTGCATCAGAATCGAAATATTAATGAGGAATCGGTGCGCAGGACAGTGGTACACTGTGGATTATGAGACGTGCAGCGTCCCTTCGTGAGCGAAGGATTTCATTCAGGTTCGTCGCATCTCTATCTGAGAGCGCAAATCGCCTAAGAACGGCGCAAAATCATCTCCATAGCTTTTCTATTTGTGTTTTGTGTTGACGCTGATGCTCAGAGTAGCGCAGTAACTCCGGAGTCTTCGTCGTTCCGCCTTGCTAACATTGGCGAGCGTGACTATTATTCAGTAGCGGTTAAGCACCATAATGGGTGGGCAAGACTGGCTCTCAGAAATTCATATCTTCCGAATAAGATAGTGTTTGCTCATAGAAAAACTGACACTGTGGTAGGACAGGGCTCCTCCAAAACTGAAGCCAACAAGACACAACAGCAAAGCCCACATTCTGGACCTCATTCCCAACGAAATCCAAACAACCAGTCTTCAATATCTGAGGGAGACCGACTACCTGATTTGACATAATCAGTATTAACAAGCGTTTTGGTTGACGGTAAGTTGAATGGATGAGAACGGTAGGCAAACGTGGCAAAATAACGAACCTGTGCTAGACGCAGAAACACCGAGCCACGTAGCCACTGTCCTGCCTCGCACCTCGCAAAATCGCTCCAAATTTCCACAAATTGGATTTTCGCAATTTTTGTTGACGTCTTAAGTCTTTTAAATGCCTTGCAACGTCGGCGTAGCAATGTTTTGCGAACGGTGCGATGCTAGGAGAGACACACAGCCACCTCAGCTAGCCCTCCCGCTAACCAGCACGGCCTACAGGCCCAAAATGCGCCAGATATCAGAGGGAAAAGCTCTACGTAGTTTCCGAGGCCCTATCCTAAGGGTGTCCCACCAGGCACTGAGGTTAGGCTACGATGCCTGGCATAGACTGAGTATGTACGCATTCTGGGTCGCTAGGAACAGGGCAATCTCGGAAAGAGACCCTTAACCTTAGGGTATCCCCCCAGGAACTGACGTTAGGTTACGATGCGGGGCACAGACTGAGTGTGTATGCAGCATGCATCGCCAGAAACCGCGCCAGAAACCGAGCCATCTTGGAAGGAGACACTACACGCCAGGGGGAGCTCTGCAGCGGGAAGAGAGGAATAGATGCAGGAATGTAGTGTCCAGAAAGAAGCCCTGAGCGACTGCGTGAGGTATACCGACCTTAAGGGGCCTACACACAAGCAAATTGGAGGAGGTGCTGGACAGAAAACATTTCAGCGTGTTGCTCTGTGAGCAACCTGCAAAGGGAAAACTGCTTTGAGTTGCATGCCTCTACAGTAAGGATGTCTGCAGTGCACAAGCAGTCCCGCACCCGCAGTGAAGTTCGCTGCTGCTTAACTACTACTGCACGGACAAGTAAAAACGAAGGACCCGTGGCTCATGCCATGCTTCAGTGATATATGAGGCTTATCACTGAACTCAAATCCTCTAAAATGCACTAGCATAGTTCACGGTGTTCGAGGGTCTCGAGCTCCGGAGATTCAGGCGATTCTTTTAGGTTTCTCAGCAGAAATGTTAGAAAGAAAGTAACAAAAAATTTCCCGAGCATTATTTGCCCTTCAAATATAATTGTTAACGCAGTGGTTCAGTAGACCTGAAACCCTAGCTCCCATTCGCATATGGCAACTCCTGCGTATATAATATAGCGCTCGCCGCCTTCGGCGATGAGCTCCATATTATATGCCGCAAGCGGAGACAGCATTTTCACGTTTGCTACAGTTGCAGTGGAATTAAAGCAGATGCGCGGCCCTGTTGTCTGCAGCGCAATGCCACTTCCGTCGGACGCACCAGCCAAACCTTCCTGTGCTCGATTAAACAACGTGTAGTCACGTTTGTTTGGAGCCATCACATTTGGACGTGGCCTTTCCCATTACCTTTGCCAGTTCGGCACTTTCTTCATTTGAGGACGACGGTGAACGAAAAGGACAAACCTAAGGCACACCAAGTGCCTTCGGAGAAGCTCTGCCCATGCTGGCTCCAGCAGCCTGCTTCTCTAGCACTGTGGAAAAGCGATCTGCTTGGCGCCGTGGCACAAACAAGTCATAGCTACATTGCTGCAGGCTCAGCAACATACTCAAAACTCAGATGAGGTTTACATCTTCTGCGACTGGTACAAATGCAGCTGCTACAGCACGAAACGTGAAGGCGGTCTGTTTGCTTTCACTGCGTACGCTCGCTTTTGCAGGTGCTTCACCTGCTGCGTCTGTGGATTTTCTGCGGACAAACTGCTGTCTTCCCTATACTGAGAGATCAGAATCGCCTTTATGCAAGGCTTTATGCGCTCCTTTGGCAGAACCTGCCTCTTCGGACGCATCGCTCTTGGTGCATCTGCTGGTTCCTGCAGTTGCTACATCTGAAGCAGTTGCTATTGCAGCGTCTCCAACTATCGCCCGAACAGTTCGCACTGGCTCAAGGAGCTCGCTCGCAGAAGAGCCGCTGGCACGATTGCCTGATGCATCTGTTTCCGGCTCCCCTTGTTCACCGTCGCGGTCAACTCTCTCGTTTCAGTTTGCTTTGACCCCTGCATCATATTGGACAAAATCTCTAGCACTGCTTGTTAGATCTAGACGAGCCGCCAACGGAAAGCTCAAGAGGCCGCAGTGTAGAGCAACAAAGCAACGGCGAAAAAATGGCAGGCTGAAGGGTCACCAAATATCTTCAAAGAAACTTTTCCTGTGCAGGCTGCAGCAGCTGGCTTTTCCATCACTGTAGAATAAACGTGTGTACTGTCGTTGGGCACTGCAACACAAACAAATCAGGCCTGCGCGCCTGAAAACTCAGCATCACACTTGAAAAAGCAATTTGTGCTGCTACACTGTGCACACTCAAGGGATGTTCAAGTTGTGAGCAAGATGCTGAGAAGTGGAAGACAAGAACTCAAGCAAATCCGGCTTGAAGCTTCAAATACACCTACTTTCTGTCCGTTGCGCATGCTCTGAAACCTCGAGGCTCAGCTCTTCCACTAGCGCCAACAAGTCGCGTGCAAACTGCAGTGTCATTACCACCCACAACAACGCTTTGCCAATGGTCCCAACTGTGGCTAAACGCTCCATCGCCACACGAGGACTCGAAGACTGACCCTCTCAGCAAACCGTTTGCTAAACGGATTATCGGAAAATAGTCTTCCTCTAAGTTTGCTCAAGGCGCCTTGATTTTTCATATCCTGCAAGGAAATCGCAGATGCGCCAGACGCAGCTGGCACTGCTCCAGACGTTGATCTATAACCCGGTATTCATCTATCCAAATTGCTGTTTGCCTTCCTCCTGGTCCTGGTCCTTGCAGGCAAAAATAGGGCGTGAGGTGAGTAATCAACAAGGTACTCACTTCTTCCACAAGCTCAATATGGAAAGTCACTGTACCAACGCCGCATATTTCACAGTCCGCCTTGACCGTAGCTGCAGGGACTCCCAATACACGCAGGAGAGGGCAATGAAAGTTAACGCCAAGCATGCAAGTCACAATTCAAGGAGCTCTCCGTGTGCGGAAATTCCGGAGCATGCTTATCTGCATTCGCTCGTACAGGCACTGCCGGTGCTGCTGCTGTTGTTGCTTCGCATTGATTCACGCAGAATGAGTGGCTGGCCCGGGCATCTTACCTCGAAATGGTTCGCTATGGGGAGAGCACAGGTTACCCATGGATTCTGCAAACTTCAGCAGCTCTTGTCGTAGCTCAGTATAGTTCTGAAAGTAGCAAGGCACACGACGCGCAATGCGTTTAGGCGGCTTTTGGAGCAGCGTTAATAAACCACAAATTAAACAACACCCACTGAATTCTATGAAAGGGGGGCGTGCATAGGAATCATGCTGATGGTTTTGTTGCTGTTGCTATATTGTGGACCTACTAATGCCTTGAGATTCGGAAAGTCATAAGGTTTTCCCAGATCTCTATAGTGGGGAGAATTCGAATCCCCGAAGGCCAACTTCGATGTAAAACGCCCGCCTTCCTGAGGTTGAGATGCCTTTGAGCTACTGGCAGCAGTCTCACCAGCTAGTTCTCCTGCTGCTGGGTTTGCCGTCACATCAGATTTTGCTGCTATGCGAGATATTTTATTGCCGGCAGTTTCCAAGAGGCCAGCTAGCGGCCCCATCCATCTAGCACGCCCTTGCCTTTCCAATTTATGTTTCTCAGCTACTTCTCCAGCAGCTGCCTGAGCATCGTGCGGCTCGACGCCTGTGCTTTCGGCACTCTCCATGGTACTCTCTTGATCACTACGTACAACGTCATAAACAAGTTGGCCGCAGTTGCTGTTGGAGTCATCATCCTCGTCATCTGCTGCTGCTTCTGGAGCTGCTGCCGCGGCATCGCCAGGTGCTTCGTCTTCCCAGCTGCTGCTGACGCCTTCCTCTGCTGCTCCTGTCCCTGGTGCTTGAGTGCTTGCTGCGTCTGACTGGGGACGATACTCGTCGTGGGCGTCTGGTGATGTTTGACCGTCATCAAACTTCAGATCTCCAGACGGTCTGTCTTCATCGGAGTCCTGAATGACGCGCCAAAAAACGCACGCTGGGAGTGGAGCTCGGGGGTGAGACAGGAACTACACACGACTTGAAGCTGTTGGCTCTGATGCATTTGAAGTGCAGATTTCCAACACCTACTTGCGAGGGTGGTGAGATGTCACCACCCAAGTCTGAATCTCCAGTCCTGCAACCATTTTTCGACAAGTGGTGTAATTGACGTCGAGCGCAGAGAGTCACCAAAAGGACGATGGCAGAGTAAACTAGCAGCTTTAGCGCTGTGGAATACCCTACCGCTGGCAAGCCTGAAATAGGCCTAGTAGCCTGAGGGAGTAAACCCGAGTCCCGATTATTTGTCAGGCTAGGGGACAACTCATAATGCACTGCTTCCGCCATGACTGCCAATTAAGGAGCTCAGAGGAGTCAGAATCCTGCAGCGCGTGGCCCCGTAACAAAGAGCCTGAATTGTGTTGGAAAGGTAGCGAGCTTGCCCAGACGTTTCAAAGAGCACTTGATGCTACAGAGGTGGGCTGCTTTCAAGGTGTTATAAAACAAGAAGTACAGTACGGGCCTTGACTGCCCAAGCGGCTCCAAACGAACACGAAATCGACGGGCATCTGGAGTGGGAGGGCCGCCCTGGGGATGCATTGTTGGCCAGATTACAGTGGCAGAAGATATGTTTCATTGCGTCGCTGCCTACCTACTTGCTGGGGACGGGAGTCGTGAACAGACAAGCGTCTGTTGCGTCCGCGTGGGGTAGTCCCCAGTGGCGTGCTATGGCTGCTGCTTTTCCGAAAAACTCTGGCACTGGTTACCCGTAATTACTCAACAAGTTTAAAAGATTGTTCTGTAGTATTATAAACGCTTTAATGTCCCGTAGTAGCTCACCTGAGTAACCTATCGCGACACATCCCTAAACAGGAGTCGTGGGCTCCCACACTTGGGAGCGGTTTTATACAAGGCCTGTGCAGCGTAGCTCGGGACTATCTAAGGTGAAGCGCAACATCTATATTCATCTGCAGCGGCTTATTCGAAGAGAAATGGCTGGATGCCGGTCGTTCTAACACTTCGTGAACAATACGTATGGGAAGCCAGACAATGGTGAGGCTCAACGGCCATGGGGGCGAACACCAGCACTTGTAGCGTAAGCGACAAAGCGGTTTGCCTAATTACCGTGCGTCTGAAACAAAATATTAATGAGAAAAGGGTGCGTGGGACGTTGGCATAACGTGAATCATGAGGCGTGGAGCATCCCCTCGTGAGCGAAGGCGCTCACTGAAGATCGTCGCATCTCAATTCTGAGAGAGCAAATCGCCCCAAAACGGCGTAAAAGCCTTTTCATAGCACCTCCCTGTGTGGTTTCTGCTGAAGCTGATGCTCGGGGTAGGCCAGTAGCCCCAAAACCTTCGTTGTGCTGATTTGCTGTCGTTTCAGAGCGTGACCCCACAATGGGAGATGGGCACCATAATAGGCGGGCAGGACCGGCTTCCAAAAATTCGAGTGATTAGAAAAAGATAGTATTTGCTAATACTCTGGGGGGACATGACTCCCGCATAACTGAAGCCACAACCCACTTCGGCAGAGCCCACGTTTGCCGTTTGCAACGACTCCTATCACGGTGGGCATACTCAGCACAATCAAAACAACCAGTTCTGCACTTCTGAGCGATCCCAACTACCTGATTTGATATAATCAGTATTATCAAGCGTTTGGTTGACGGTAAGTTGAGTGGATGAGAGTAGAGAGCAAACGGAGCGGGTACGCAAGCAAGAACCTGTGCTGTACTTGATGATTACGCGCCAGGCCAGGTAGCCACTGTCCAGCCTTGGCAACGCGGCGGAGAACCAGCAGAGCAAGATTTTCTGCGGAATCGCCCCAAATTTCCATAAATTGGATTTTTGCAAATTTTTGTAGACGCCTCGAGTCTTTTATATGCCTTCAAATGGCGGTATAGCAATATTCTGCGAACGGCGCGATGACAGAGACACACACTGCCACCCCAGCTAGCCCTCCAGCTAACCGGAGCGGCCTACGGGCCCAATACGCACCAGATGTCGAAAGGTAAAGCTCCTTGTACTTGCAGAGGCTCTAACCTGAGGGTGTCCCGCCAGGCACTGAGGTTAGGTTACGATGCGGGGCATAGACTGAGTATGTACACACCCTGTGTCGCCGAGGCATGTTCGAAATAGAACCCACACGCCACACGGAGATCTGCAACAGGGAGCAAGAGAGGAGCAAATGCAGGAATGTAATTTCCAGAAAGAAGCCCTGGGCGGCTGCGTGAGGTGTGCTGACCCTAAAGGGGCTTATACACAGGCAAATTGCGGGAGGTGCTGGGCAGAAAACATTTCAGCGTGTTACTCTGTGAGCGCCCTGCAAAGGGAAAACCGCTTTGAGTCGTATGTCTCTACAATAAGGACGTCTGCAGTGCACAAGCAGTCCCGCACCCGCAATGAAATTCGCTGCTGCGTGACTACTACTGCACGGACAAGTAAACACAAAGGGCATGTGGCTCATGCCATGCTTCAGTGATTTATGAAGCTTATCACTGAACTCAAATCCTCTAGAATGCACTGGCTTAATTCACATTGTTCGAGGGTCTCGAGCTCCGGAGATTCAGGCAATTCTTTTAGGTTTCTCAGTAGCAATGTTCGACAGAAAGAAAGAAACAAAATTTCTCAAGCATTCTTTGCTCGTCAAGTATAATTGTTAACGCAGCGGTTCAGTAGACCTGAAACCCTAGCTCCGTTTCGCATACGGCAACTCCTGCTTATATAATATAGAGCTCGCCGCCTTCAGCAATGAGCTCGATACTTTATACCACAAGCCGAGACCTCCTTTCTACGTTTGTTACAATTCCAGTGGAATCAAAGTAAATGCGTGACCCTGGTGTTTGAGGCGTGGTTCAAATTTCATCGGACGCACTGGCCAAGCCTTCCTGTGTTCGGCCAAATAGCGCATTCAAGGCATCGCATTTGGACGTGGCCTTTCCCAAAACCTTTGCCAGTTCGGCACTTTCTTCATTTGAGCACAGCAGCAAATAAAACGGACTAACTTAAGGCCCAACAAATGCCTTCAGAGAAACTTTGCCTAAGCCCCAGCAGCCTGCTTTTCTAGCACTGTAGAAAAGCGGTCTGCTTGGCGCCTTGGCACTGCAGCACAAAAGTATCAGCCCTGCATTACTGCAGGCTCAGCAATACACTCGAAAATCAGGTGAGGTTTACCTCTCCTGCAACTGGTGCAAATGCAACTGCTGCAGCAGGAATCGCCAAGGCAGTCTGTTTGCTTTCACTGCCTACGCTCGCTTTTGCAGATGCTTCACCTGGCGCGTTTGTGGATTTTTCGTGGCCAAACAATGATTTTCTCTGCAATACGTTATTAGCATGCCGTTGGTGCAAGGCTTTAGGTGCTCCTTTGGGAGAGCCTGCCTCTTCGGACACTTCACTCTTGGTCCTCAGCCGGTTCCTGCAGTTGCTACATCTGAAGCAGCTGCTGTTGCAGCGTCTCCAGCTGCCGCCTGAACTGTGAAGACTGGGTCAACGAGCTCATTCGCACAAGAGCCGCTGGCACGATTGCCTGCTTGAATTGCTGCATTTGTTTTCGGCTCCCTTCGTTCGCCACCGTGTTTGGCGCTAGCGCCTCAACTTGCTTTGGTCCCTGCGTCGCATCGGACAAAAACTCGTGCACTGCGTGCTAGCTTTAGACGAGGAGTCAAAAAGCTTAGAAGATAGCAGTGTAGAGCAACAAAGCAACCGCCAAAAAAATTGCAGACTAAAGGATCACCAAATATCTTCAAAAGAACTTTTCCGGTGGAGGCTGCAGCATCCGGCTTTTCTAGAATTTTATAATAATAAAACTTTGTAGGGCCGTTGCGCACTGCAGCAAAAACAAATCAGGCCTGCGCGCCTGAAAACTCAGCATCGCACTTGGAAAAGCAATTTGTGTTGCTACACTGTGCACACTCAAGGGACCGTCAAGTTGTGAACAAGACGCTGAGAAGTGGAAGACTAGAACTCAAGCAAGTCCTGCTTGAAGCTTCACGTCCACCTACACCTTGTCTGCTCCACACAGGTTGAAACCACGACGCTCATCTCTTACGTTAGTGCCAACAAATCGCGCGTAAACTGCAATGTCATTACCACCCCACAATAGCGCCTCGCCAATGGTCCCAGCTGTGGCTAAACGTGATTGCCGCACGAGGACTGGAAGACTAACCCTCTGAGCCAGCCGTCTGTCAAACGGGTTTTCTAAAAATAGTCTTTCCCTAACTTGGTCTAAGAAGCTTTGATTTTTCATATTCTGCAGGGAAATCGCAGATACGCCAAACATAGCTGGAACTGCTCCAGGCGTTGCTCGACAGCCAGGCATTTTTCTCTCCAAATTGCTGTTTGCCTTCCTCCTCGTCCTTGCAGGCAAAAATAGGGCGTGAGGTGAGTAATCAACAAGGTACTTACTTCCTCCACAATCTCAATATGCAAGGTCACTGTACCAACGCCGCAAATATCACAGTCCGCCTTGACCGTAGCTGCAAGGACCCCCAATATACGCAGGAGAGGGCAATGAAAGTTAACGCAATGAAAGTTAACGCCAAGCATGCAAGTCACAATTCAAGGAGCTCTCCGTGTGCGGAAATTCCGGAGCATGCTTATCTGCATTCGCTCGTACAGGCGCTGCCGGTGCTGCTGCTGTTGTTGCTTCGCATTGATTCACGCAGAATGAGTGGCTGGCCCGGGCATCTTACCTCGAAATGGTTCGCTATGGGGAGAGCACAGGTTACCCATGGATTCTGCAAACTTCAGCAGCTCTTGTCGTAGCTCAGTATAGTTCTGAAATTAGCAAGGAACACGATGCGCAATGCGTTTAGGCGGCTTTTGGAACAGCGTTAACAAACCACAAATTAAACAACACCCACTGAATTCTATGAAAGGGGGGCGTGCATAGGAACCATGCTGATGGTTTTGTTGCTGTTGCTATATTGTGGACCTACTAATGCCTTGAGATTCGGAAAGTCATAAGGTTTTCCCAGATCTCTATAGTGGGGAGAACTCGAATCCCCCAAGGCCAATTTCGTGTAATGACGCCTGCCTTCCTGAGGTTGAGGCGCCTTTGAACTGCTGGCAGCAGTCTCACCTGCTGCTTCTTCTGGTGTTGGGTTTGCTGCCACATCAGAGTTTCCGCTAGTTATTTTCTTGCCGGCAGTTTCCAAGAGACCAGCCAGCGGCCCCATCCATCTCGCACGCCCCGGCCTTTCCACTTTATGTTTCTCAGCGGCTTCCCCAGCAGCTGCCTGCAAATCATGCGGCTGAGCGCCTATGCTCTCGGCATTGTTCACAGTACTTTCTTGATCACTACATACAGCGTCATAAACAAGGTGGCCGCAGTTGCTGTCGGAGTCGTCATCCTCGTCATCTGCTGCTGCTTCTGGAGCTGCTGCCGCGGCATCGCCAGGTGCTTCGTCTTCCCAGCTGCTGCTGACGCCTTCCTCTGCTGCTCCGGTTCCCGGAGCTTGAGTACTTGCTGCGTCTGATTGTGAAGTAGACTCGTCGTGGGCGCCGGGTGATGTTTGACGGTTGTTAATCCTCAGGTCCCCACATGGACTGTTTTCATCAACGTCCTGAGTGACGCGCCAAAAAACGCACGCTGAGAGTGGAGCTCAGGGATGAGATAGGAACTGTACACGACTTGAAGCTGTTGGCTCTGATACAATTGGAGGGCAGATTTCCTACATCTACTTGCGAGGGTGGTGAGATGTCACCAGCCGAGTTTGAATCTCCTTGCCTTTCCGTTCTACGTTCCTCACAGCCTTTTCCAGAAGCTCGATGGCCGAATTTGCTGTCGGAGTCGCCATCCTTGTCATCTGCTGCTGCTCCCGGTGCTGCTGCAGCGGCACCTCCAGATGCTTCGTCTTCACAGCTCCTGCTCACGCGTTCCTCTGCTGCGCTTGCTCCTTGTGATGGTTGACGGTCATCAATCCTCAGGTCTCCAGACGGACTGTCTTCATCGGAGTCCTGATTGACGCTCCAAAAGATGCACGCTGGGAGTGGAGCTCAGGGGTGAGACAGGAACCACACATGACATGAAACTGTTGGCTCTGATACAAGTGCAGATTTCCTACACCTACTTGCGAGGGTGATTCGATGTCTCCAGTCCTGCAACCATGTTCCGACAAGTGCTGTAATTGATGTCGAGCGCAGAGAGCCACTAAAAGTATGATGGCAGAACAAACTAGCAGCTTTAGTGCTGTGGAATACCCTACCACTGGCAAGCGAGACCCTGAAATAGGCCGAGTAGCCTGAGGGAGTAAACCTGGGTCCCCATTATTTGTCAGGCTCGGGGACCACTCATAATGCAATGCTTCCCCCATGGGTGCCAGTAAAGGAGCTCAAATGAGTCAGTGCGTGGCCACGTAACGCGAGGAGCGCGCTTGCCCAGACGTTTTCAACGAGGGCTTGACGTTATAGATGTGGGCTATTTTCAATGTCTCATACAAGAAGAAATACAGTACTGGCCTTGACTCTCCAGGCAGCTCTAAACGAACACAAAATCGAGGGGCATCTCGGGTGTGAGGGCCGTCCTTGTCCTACTCTGGGGATGCATTCTTGGCCAGAATACGGTGCCAGAAGAAATGTTTCATTGCGTTGCTGCCTAGCTGCTTGCTGGGGACGGGAGTCGTGAACGTGTGGGTAGTCCGCAGTGGCGTACTATCGCTGCTGCTTTCCCGAAAAGCTCTGGCACTGGTTACCCGTAGTTACTCAACAAGTTTTCAAGATTATTCTGCAGTATTATAAACGCTTTAATGCCCCATAGTAGAGCGCTTGAGCGACGTAACACGACACATCAAGCTAGGCTCCGCACTGCACAGGCCTTGCTGTGCAAAGCCGCTCCCAAGTCTTCGTGAGCGGCTTTGTACAATAAGGCCTGTGCAGCGTGGCTCGGGACTATCTCAGGTGAAGCGAAACACCTGTGTTCATCTCAGGTAGGCTATTTGACAAGAAAATGGCTGGAAACCGGCCGTTCTAACACTTTGTGAGCAATAGGTGTGGTAGACTAGACAATGCAGGGGGCCAACGGCCAGGGAGGGGAACACCAGCACTTGCAGAGTAAAAATGCCTTAGTAGAGGGCACAAAAGGGTTTCCCTAATTATCGTGTATAGGCAACGAAATGTTAATGGGGAGTTGGCGCGTGGGACGTTGGCATAACGGATGAGGCGTGCACTGTGTCCCTCATGAGCGAAGGCGCTCACTGAAGATCGTCGCATCTCTATCTAATCGCACACATCGCCCCAAAACGGCGTAAATGCCTTTGCATAGCGCTTCCCTGTGTGTGTTCTGTTAACGCTGATGCTCGGGGTGGCCCAGTAACCCCAAAACCTTCGCTGTAGTGCCTTGCTGTCGTTTCGGAGCGTGACCCCACAATGGGAGATGAGCACCATAATACGGGGGCAGGACCGGCTTTCGAAAAATCGAGTGCTTAGAAGAAGATAGTATATGCTAATATTTTGGGATGACAGGGCTCCGGCAAAACTGAAGCCACAAACCACTTCCATGGTGAGCATACTCAGCGCAACAAGCAGTTCTAGGTATCTGAGAGATCCCGGCCATCCGATTTGATATAATCAATATTGTCAATCGTTTTCGTCGACGGTAAGTTGGGTGGATGAGAATAGAAGGCAAATGGGGCAGGTACGAAAGCAAGAACCTGAGCTGGATGTGATGACAGCATCAGAGCACCAGGGGACGTAGCGACTGTCCTGTCTCGGCAGCGCGCCAGAGAACCAGCAGAGCCAGAATTTCCGCGAAATTGCTCCAAATTTCCATAAATTGGATGTTTGCGAATTTTTGTAGACGTCTCGACTCTTTTTTATGTCTTCAAACGGCGGAGTAGCAATATTCTGGGAACGGTGGAATGACAGGAGACATACACTGCCACCCCAGCTAGCCGTCGCGCTAACTGGAGAGCCCTACAGGCCCAATATGCACCAGATCTCAAAAGTTGAAGCTCTCCGTAATTGCCGAGGCTCTAACCTGAGGGTGTCCCGCCAGGCACTGAGGTTAGGTTACGCCAGGGATAGGCTGAGTATGTACGCAGCCTGCGTCGCCAGAAACCGAGCCATCTTGGAAAAAGGACCCACACGCCACAGGGAGCCCTGCAGCAGGGAGAAAGAGAGGAGCAAATGCAGGCATGTACTGTCCAGAAAGAAGCCCTGAGCGGCTGCATGAGGTATTCTGACCTAAAGGGGCTTATGCACGAGCAAATTGCAGGAGGTGTTGGGCAGAAAACAGCGTTTCAGCGTGTTTCTCTGTGAGCGCCCTGCAAAGGGAAAACCGCTTTGAGTCGTATGTCTCTACAATAAGGACGTCTGCAGTGCACAAGCAGTCCCTCACCCGCAATGAAATTCGCTGCTGCGTGACTACTACTGCACGGACAAGAAAACACAAGGGCCTGTGGCTCATGCCATGCTTCAGTGATTTATGAGGCTTATCACTGAACTCAAATCCTCTAAAACGCACCGGCTTAATTCACATTGTTCGAGGGTCTTGAGCTCTGGAGATTCAGGCAATTCTTTTCGGTTTCTCAGCAAAAATGTTTGAAAGAAAGTAACAAAATATCTCCAGCTTTCTTTGCTGATCAAGTATTATTGTTAACGCAGTGGTTCAGTAGACCTGAAACCCTAGCGACGATTCGAACATGGTAAGTCCTGCGTGTCTAATATGGATGGAGCTCGCCGCCTTTAGCGGTGAGCTCTATACTATAAACCGCAAGCCAAGACCTAATTTTCACTTTTGCTACAGTTGCAGTGGGATAACAGCAAATGCGCGACCCTGGTGTCTTCAGCGCAATCCCACTTCCATCGGACGCACGAGCCAAATCTTTCTGTGCTTGATTAAGCATTGCAAGAAGCTACGTTTCGGTTGAAGCCATTACATTTGGACGCGGTCTTTCCCATTGCCTTTACCAGCTCGGCACTTTCTTCTTTCAAGCACAACGGTGAACGAAAAGGACTAACTTAAGGCCCAAAAAATGCTTTCAGAGAAGCCCTTCATATGCTGGCTCCAGCAGCCTGCTTTTCTAGCACTTCAGAAAAGTGGTTTGCTTGGCGCTTTGGCACTGCGACACAGAACAGTAAGCCCTGCATTTCTGCAGGCATACCAACGTGCTCAAGGCCCAACAAATGCCTTCAGAGAAGTCTTTTCCATGCTGACTCCAGCAGCCTGCTTTTCTAGCACTGCAGAAAAACGGTCTGCTTGGTGCTTTGGCACTGCGACACAGAGCAGCACGCCCTGCATCCCTGCAGGCTTAGCAACGTGCTCGAAAATCAAATGAGACTTATATTTCCTGCAGCCGGTGTAAATGCAACTGCTGCAGCATGGACCGCCAAGAGGGTCTGTTTGCTTTCACTGCCCACGCTAGCTTTTGCAGGCGCTTCGCCTGGTGGGTCTGTGGTTTTTCACCGGCCAAACTACGGTCTTCCGTGTAATGGGATTTCAGAACTGCCATTGTGCAAACCTTTAGACGCTCCTTCAAGGCACTCTGCCGCTTTGGACGCTTCACTGTTGGTACCTCCGCCTGTTCCTGCAGTTGCTACATCCGAAGCAGCTGCCGTTGCAGTGTCTCCAACTGTCGCCTAAAGAGTTGGCACTGGGTCAACGAGCTCATTCGCAAAAGAGCCGCTGGCACGATTGCCTGGTTGAATTGGTGCATCTGTTTTCGGCTCCCCTTGTTCACCGTCGCGGTCGGCGCTATCCTCCGCATCTGCTTTGATCCCTGCGTCACATTGGACAGGAGCTCGTGCACTGTGTGTTAGCTCTAGAAGAGGCGTCAATGGAAAGCTCAAAAGACAGCAGTGTAGGGCAACGAAGCAACAACAAACAAAAGAGACAAGCTGAAGGATCACCAAATATCTTCAAAGAAACTTTGCCTGTGCAGGCTGCAGTAGCCGGCTTTTCTAGCACGGTAGAATAAAACTCTGTACGACCGTACGGCACTGCAGCACAAACAAATCAGGCCTGCGCACCTGAAAACTCAGCAACGCACTTGAAAAAGCAACTTGTGCGGCTACACTGTGCACACTCAGCGGATAGTCAAGTCGCGAGCAAGACGTTGTGAAGTGGAAGACAACATCTCGAGCACGTCCTGCTCGAAGCTTCAGGTCCACCTACTTCCTGCCCGCTGTGCGTGCTCTGAGACCGTGAGGCTCAGCTCTTCTATTAGTGCCAACAAATCGCGCGTAAACTGCAATGTCATTACCACCCCACAACAACGCTTTGCCAATGGTCCCAACTGTAGCTAAACGCCCCATTGCCGCAGGAGGACTCGAAGACTAACCCTCTCAGGAACCCGTCTGCTAAACGGATTTTCTGATACTACCCTTCGCCTAAATTGGCCTAGGGAGCTTTGATTTTCCATATCCTGTAGGGAAATCGCAGATACGACAAACACAACTGGCACTGCTCCAGGCGTTGCTTTACAGCCAGGCATTTTTCTCTCCAAATTGCTGTTTGCCTTCCTTCTGGTCCTTGCAGGCACAAATAGGGCGTGGTGTGAGTAATCAACAAGGTACTTACTTCCTCCGTAACCTCAATATGCAAGGTCACTATACCAACAAAGCGTATATCACAGTCCGCCTTGACCGTAGCTGCAGGACCCCCAATATACACAGGAGAGGGCGCTAAAAGTTAACGCCAAGCATGCAAGCCACAATTCAAGGAGCTCTCCGTGTGTGAAAATTCCGGAGTGTACTTATTTGCATTGCTTCACTCAGGCCCTGTCCGTGCTGCTGCTGCTGCTGCTTCGCACTGATTCACGCAGAATCAGTGGCTGGCTTGGGTATCTTACCTCGAAATGGTTCGCTATGGGGAGCGCACAAGTTACCCATGGATTCCGCGAAATTCATTAGCTCTTTTCGCAGCTCAATATAGTTCTGAAATGTGCAGGACACACAACGCGCACTGTGTCTATGGGGCTTTTGGAGCAGCACTAACCAACCACAAACACCCACTGAGTCCCATGAAGGTCGGCGTGCATTGGAGCCATCCAGATGGTATTGTGGCTGTTGCTATATTGTGGACCTACTAATGCCTTGAGATGCGGAAAGTCATAAGGCTTTCCTAATTTTCTATAGTGGGGAGAATTCCAATGCCCCAAGGCCAATTTCGTGTAATGACGCCTGCCTTCCTGAGGTTGAGGCGCCTTTGAACTGCTGGCAGCAGTCTCACCTGCTGCTTCTTCTGGTGTTGGGTTTGCTGCCACGTCAGATTTTCCTGCGACGCCAGTTAACTTCTTGCCTGCAGTTTCCAATAGACCAGCCAGCTGCCCCATCCATTTCGCACGCCCCGGCCTTTCCACTTTATGTTTCTCAGCTGCTTCTCCAGCAGCTGCCTGAGCATCGTGCGGCTCGGCTCTTGTGCTCTCGGCATTGTTCACGGTACTTTCCTGATCATTACGTGCAAAGTCATGAACAAGATGACCGCAGTTGCTGTCGGAGACGCCATCCTCGTCATCTACTGCTGCTTCTGGAGCTGCTGCCGTGGCATCGCCAGATGCTTCGTCTTCACAGCTGCCACTCACGCCTTCCTCTGTCACTCCGGTTCCCGGAACTTGAGTGCTTGCTACGTCTGACAGTGGAAGAGACTCGTCGTGGATACCTGGTGATGTTTGACGGTCATCAAACTTCAGGTCTCCGCACGCACTGTCTTCATCGGAGTCCTGAGTGACGCGCCAAAAAGCGCACGCTGGGAGTGAAGCACAGGAGTTAGGCAGAAACTACACGCGACACGAATCTGTTGGCTCCGATATATTTGAAGTGCAGATTTCCTACGCCTACTTGCGAGGGTGATGAGATGTCAGCACCCGAGTTTGAATCTCCCTGCCCTTCCATTCTATGTTCCTCACAATCTTTTCCAGCAGCTCGATTGCTGCATGTGCTGCTGGAGTCGTCATCCTTGTCATCTGCTGCTGCTCCCGCAGCTGCTGCAGCGGCACCGCCAGATGCTTCGTCTTCACAGCTCCTGCTGACGCGTTCCTCTGCTCCGCTTGCTCCTGGTGATGTTTGACGGTCATCAAACTTCAGGTCTCCGCACGCACTGTCTTCATCGGAGTCCTGAGTGACGCGCCAAAAAGCGCACGCTGGGAGTGAAGCACAGGAGTGAGGCAGAAACTACACACAATATGAGACTGTTGGCTCCGATATATTTGAAGTGCAGATTTCCTACGCCTACTTCCGAGGGTGATGAGATGTCACCAGCCAAGTCTGAATCTGCATTCCTGCAACCCCGTTCCGACAAGTGCTGTAATTGATGTTGAGCCCAGAAAGCCACCAAAAGCACGATGGTGGAGTAAACTAGCAGCTTTAGCACTGTGGAATGCTGCCAATACACCTCTACCACTGGCAAGCGATACCCTGGAATTCGTAGGGTAGCCTGAGGGAGTAAACCTGTGTCCCAACTATTTGTCGAACCATGGGACCACTCATGCAATGCTTCCCCCATGAGTGCCAATTAAGGAGCTCAGAGGAGTCAGAACCCTGCAGTGCGTGGACCCGTAACAGAGGGCTTGAATTTGGGAGTTGGAAGGCTAACGCGGTTGCCCAGGCGTTTCAAAGAGGATTTGACGCTATAGAGGTGGGGTATTTTCGAGGTTTTATACAAAAGGAAACACATTACGAGCCCTGACTCCCCAAGCGGCTCTAAACAAACACAAAATCGAAGGGCATCTGGGGTAGGAGGACCGTCCTTGTCTTACTCTAGGGATGCATTGTTGGCCAGATGACAGTGACAGAAGAAATGTTTCATTGCGTTGCTGCCTAGTTACTTGCTGGGGACGGGAGTCGTGAACGGACAGGTGGCTCGTGCTTGGGGACCTCCCCAGTGGCGTGCTATGGCTGCTGCTCTTCTGGAAAACTGCTGGGTTAGTTGCCCTAAGTTACTCAACGAGTTTTCAATATTGTTCTGTAGTATTATAGAAGCTTTAATGTCCCATAGTAATGCCCTGGAGTAACGTAGAACGACTCATCGCTGCAGAGGAGTCGTGGGCGCGCGAGCTAGCGCGCGCCTTCGCACAATAGGACCTGTGCAGCGTCACTTAGGACTATCTGATGTGACACGCAACACCTATAACAGTACCGCAATTTAGTCCAAGAGAAAATGGCTGGAAACCGGTCGTTCCAGCAGTTCTTGAGCAGTGGGCCAACGCTCGTGGTGGCAAACACCAACGCTTGCAGCGTGAAAATGTCTTACTAGAGGGCGCAAAAGGGTTTCCCTAATTGTCTTGTGTCGGAAACTATATATTAGTGAGGAATTGGTGCGTGGGACAATGGCATAATGTGAATCATCCTGTGTGCAGCGTCCCCTCCTGGCCGAAGGTTCTCACTGAAGATCGTCACGATCTCTGTCAGCGGGCAAATCGCCCAAGAAAGGGGCTAAAGCCTTTCCATAGCGATTTTGCGTGCGTCGTCTGTTGACGCTGATGCTCAGGGTAGCCCAGTAACCCCAAAAGCGTAGTTGTACTGCCTCGCTGACGTTGCCGAGTGTGACTCGAGTATTGACCAGCATAGTAAAAGTTGAGCATCATACTAGGAGGGGAAGACCGGCTTTCAAAATTCAAGCGCTCGGAAGAAGATAGTATTTGCTCCGAGCACATATTCTGGGAGGACAAGGCTCCGGCAAAACTGAAGCCACAGCCCACTTCGACAGAGCCCACATTTGCCGTTTGCAGCGACTCCGATCACGGTGGTCATACTCAGCGCAGTCGAAACAACCAGTTCTACATATCTGAGCGATCCTAACTACCTGATTTGATATAATCAGTATTATCAAGCGTTTAGTTGACGGTAAGTTGAGTGGATGAGAACAGAAGGCAAACGGAGCAGGTGAAGCAAGAACCCGTGCTGAACGTGGTGACCAAGCACGAAGCTAGGTAGTCACTGTCCTGTCTTGGCAACGCGCCAGAGAACCACCCGAGTCAAACTTTCTGCAAAATCGCTCCACCTATCCGTACATTGGATTTTTGCAGACTTTGGTCGACGTCTCGGGTCTCTTATGCGCCTTCAAACGGCGGCGTAGCAGTGTTTCGCGAACGGTGCAATGCTAGGAGACACGCGTCCACAGCCATCTCAGCTTGCCCTCCCGCTAGCCAGCGAGGCAAGCAGGCCCAATATGCGCCCGATCTCGAAAGGGACAGCTCTAGGTACTTGCCCAGGCCCTAACCAATTGTTTTACAATACGGGGCATAAACTGAGTATGTACACAGCGTGCGTCGCGGGAAGCCGAGTCATCTTGGAAAGGGAACCCCTACGCTACGGGGAGCTCTGCAGCAGGTTGTAAGAGAGAAACAGATGCAGGAATGCCATGTCCAGAAAAGCCCTGAGCGACTGCGTGAGGAGTGCTGACCTGGAGGGGCCTATGCGCGAGCAAATTGCAGGAGGTGCTGGAGAGAAAACAGCGTTTCAGCGTGTTTCTCTGTGAGCTCACTGCAAAGGCAAAAGAGCCTTGAGTTGTATGCCTCTACAATAAGGACGTCTGCAGTGCACAAGCAGTCCCGCAGCCGCAATGAAGTTCGCTGCTGCGTAATTATTGCTGCACGGACAAATAAACACGAAGGGCTTGCGGCTCGTGCCTTGCTTCAGTGATTTATGAGGCTTATCACTTAACTCAAATCCTCTGAAATGCACTGGCTTAATTCACAGTGTTCGAGGGTCTTGAGCTCCGGACATTCAAGCAATTCTCTTAGGTTTCTCCGCAGAAATGTTCGACAGGACAAAAGTAGCAAAATTCCTTGAACTTTCTTTGCTAGTCAAATATAATCGTTAACGCAATGGTTCAGTAAACCTGATCCGCTACCTATGATTCGCACATGGCAACTCCTGCGTGTCTAATACGGAGCTCGCCGCCTTCAGCGATGAGCTCTACAGTATATACCGCAAGCCGAGACCTCATTTCCCCCTTTGCTACAGTTGCAACGGAATTAAACTAAAAGTCCGACCCTGGTGTTTGCGGCGGAGTTCAAATTTTATCGGACGCACTAGCCGAGCCTTGCTGAGTTCGGCCAAATAACGCGTGTGGCCACGTTTTGGTTGCGCCACATTTGGGCGTGGCCTTTCCCGATACCATTACCAGTTCGGCGCGTTGTGCATTAGGGAATGCTGATAAGTCCTAATAGCGCTGCTTCAGCGTGGTATACAATTTTGTGCAGAATAATGGTGCATGTCATCAAGCATTAAGCCTTAAAATTCACAGCTGAAAGCGAAATATCCATATAAGGTACCAATTTGCATCAAACGCAGTATCAAACTGCGGCGCTCTACTTGTACGCATGCTGATTTTTCGTGGGTGCTCATGCTTTGTTTATACAGTCGCAGCGGTTTTTTTATAGAGCATCTTAGAGCCTGGTGGGGGAGACACAGCAAAGTAAGTCAGCTACCCCGGTCTTGATAGCTTGTTTGCATTTTGCTTATGTTACCCATTGGAAGATTCACGGTTCTCCTTTCACTTCAGGTGTGTAGCAGTTGTCAGAGCTGCACTGTTACGTGCAGCCGAAATGCCTGGAAGCTGGTCATTAGGCATCTGAGACATAAATAGCTTCACAACTTATCCTAGACCAGCAGTGCAGCTTCACCCCCCTATGATCGCCGCAATCGGCATCATTTGTCGACTGACTGTTTGAGCTGCTAATAGTTCGGGAAAGTCCGTTACGCGTAGCTCTATGTCAAAATAATTCTGCTTCTTTGGGAATGATTGCAGTCCATACCTTAAAATTGACGAAATTCTTAGCATTCAGATCGCCAAGCAGTGCCAAAAGGTCGCAAGAAAAACCTTGGTGGGCAGTGTGTGTTGCATTGCCTTGAGGCCAGGCGTGTGCCTGAAAATGGCCTTTGGACAGCTTGCTACCGCGGCGCTACTGCTGCGTATGGAGGCCTGGCCTTTTCCTATAGTATCACAAGGCTACGCAGCAGAAATTATGATGGTCAAGCGTTCCCGATTTCTTCCTTCGCCGCTGCAGGAAGCTTCGCATACATGCCCGGTTTAGCTGGGTCTGCAACGGAGCACACAATTGATCTTTTAATGCAGCATATTGTTTAAAATATGGCTCTGTGTGGTGTCGCTCTACTGAGGCGTGTGATAGCCTGCTTATATGGCCACTTGGAGACTACGTGAGAGTGAAAGCCAGAAGGTATTAAGGTATGCAGCTGACAGAGCCAGTACTATGATTTCCTTCCTTTTGTTGTGTCCCTAATGTACTTGGGGGTCCACAAAGCTGCCTCTGCGCTGCGATCGGGGTGCTTGTGTTTGCCGCTGTAGGAGAGAACTCGTGGCCACAAGCCTCAACGGACGGTTTGATCCTTGGACTAGCACTATTGCATCTCTAAGAGCAACTCCTTTCAAGAAAGAGCCTTAAAGCCAAGGGGGTTCCTGTCAGAGTCGCTGCCGCTAATAATATCTGCTCTGTATGCTGGAAATAGTAAGCATCTTGTTCAATCGTAACTCCACTGCCGATTAGGTATTTTGTTGGAGCTACCACTGGAACACCACCTGCTTCATTAGCTGCTTCTCTTGCTAACATTTTTGCCACACCATGACATAGCCATTAAGAGTACCCTTTTCGGTTGTTCCTGGCACTTGACCAAGTGACTCTGCCTCTGTGGACGGTTCTCTTTTCAGGCTAATGGGCCTGGTCAAGTGGCCCCCTCACGGAACCGAGTATGGCATTGCATATGCTGGGGCTGCCAAATCTGTTAAACCCACCGGGCACGTAGCACCGACTTGCCCGGGTAGCGCAAGTACAGCTTTGGCGCTAACACCATCATATAATGCAGATGTTACTGCTGGAGCTGCCCTGCACTTCGCCGTGCACGGTAAAAATTTTCAGTCTCAGGCTTGCTGCTGTCACCGTCATCTTCAGCTTGTGCTGCCTAGTTGATTGCGCAGCGTTGCAGTCGCTCCTAGCGCTCTCATCAGCTGCGTATGTTGCAGAGCCGATAGCGTTAACAATGGACTCGTTGCTGGCACCTTCAGCTACTCAGCCCGGTGCTGCGAACAAATCATCGCCACCGTAATTCCATAATGGGGAGACAAAGTGTGAAACGGGTGGAACGCAGGAATAAGACGCCGCAGACAGATGAAGGGAAATAACAAATAGGGTGGTGCATACGTTGCTTGCATCCAAACGCAGGAAGCCGCCACAGCCACACCACCTACTATTCCCTAATATTTATAGTCTTTGGTCAGGTGAAGGCGAAAGCTAAGGGACAGAGTAGGTAAGCCACTCCAGGAATATAGGCGGGATGGGCATCATTGATGCTACTGCTGCGCTGATGGGTCTCTAGACCGCTTCCACGAACACCCTCAGTGAAGAATCTACTTCGGCTTCAACACGGTAAGAGTGGTCCTACTTCATATTACTAGTTGCGTAGGCGAGCCAATAACACCCCAGTTCCGTTACAATGAAAGTCACCTGTTCATACACAGCACAAAAACGCTGCAGGGATTGGGCGGACATCATTTGCATTGAAGCTGAGGCATGAAAAACTGATTAGAACATTTAGAGTTTTCTTAAAGGGAGACAAAGCTAAGGAGAAGACAGATCGTCAATTTGACTCGTTGTAGAGCGGAGCCCCCCGACCTGTGCTCTGCCATTGGTGACGCAGAATCGACCATCAGCAAGGGAAAGCCAGCTGTTCTTGCGTCCCTGCAGCGTTGACTAGTTGCCTTTATAACAAAATTCGCACTCTCTTCCATATATTCGCCAAACGGCGTTTTCACTGCCGGCGCTCTATATTGGATTTGAAGGTCCGCCCTGCTTGGGCGTCGCCGCACACAGCATTGTCTCAGTCAGCTTTTCTCAGGGGCAAGTCTGGAACATTTCATTTAAACTGGGTAACAAATGGACCAGCAAATCAATATGTGGAAGCTTGAGGGGAAACAACAACAAAGGGACCTTTACGAAACCCTTAAGCAGACAGGGTCCTCCATGAAGACTTCACCGGCTGCCTCCTATCTCCGAAAAGCCCAAAGTAACATTCGCAAAACAAAATTTAAAAATCGAGTACAAGCAGATATTTATGTAAAGGTGCCCTCATGCAGTAATATAAAGCCGCAGCCGATCCCCAGCATTCCTGAGACTCCAGCAGGGACTCACCCGCCACGCCTCCGTTGCAGTCCCGCGAAGCACTTTTGTTCCCTCGCCAAAAATCATTTGTTTTCAGGAGATTTTTCCGGATTCAAGAAGTCTTTACTTTGTTGAACATCTGTAATTCAATCTGGATGCTTTGTCGCGTTTGCGATCTGTGGCCACTGGTGTTACGCTCTGCCAAGAAACATTCTCCCATCTGAATGCAGTGACACTATCAACTACAACTGTGTTCTTCCCGAAAGAAATATATGTGCGTGGGAGGACGAAGCGGAAGAAGAAACAAGGCTTCAGCTCGGCGCCTGCAGCATGGAAAAACTCCAATTGAGGCGATTCTCCATCAATGATCAATGTGGGAGATCAATAATCTTTACTTACAAGGTTGACTACTACGTGCATGTGTTTTTGTCGCGCTGGTCATTTTGTTCGTGGTCGTTGCCGTTGGATTGCAGTCACGTTGACACGCGTCGTACACTAAAGCGAACTTAGGGACATTTCTTCGTTACTCCAGAAAAAAGCAATCCTGGAAGTAAATCGGCTTCCAGCTCGCTGCCTATGCAGTGGCGATTCCGCATACGGAAGGCAGCAGGAGTTAATTGCATCTTCCTCCGATGCGACCCTGAACAGTTCCATCGCTTGCCATCTCACAATACCCTTGCAAGAGAAACCCCTTCAACAGATGCTACAACTGCGACAGCAGCAGTCCGGGCGCGCAGCACAGGTAACTTAAGATCGACGGTGGTGGCCCGCTTCCACGAAGTACTTTGAAGCCGGTTTCTTTTCGGGTTTAAGCCTTTCCGAGTCATCATTCTCCGGATTTCCCGGGAATCCTTTGCGCCAAGAACGTGCATGTCGACCACGAAAATTCGGCCTGCAAGCTTTTACCACTGTGTCTGGTTCTAACGACGTTCCTTGGCCTTCTCCGTAGCTCACAAATCTCGACCATTCTTCTGCAAAAAATTTGACCAGGACAGACCCGGATCCCAGCAGTCAGGTGTTGTGTTCCTTTGGAACCTTCATATTGCCGCTTTGTGCTCCGCTCTTTGTTCATTCCTCTCAGAGCCAACTTAACAGTGTCTGGCGCGCTTTTAGGGCAACGTTTTTGTCTTATTCCAACGCTTCTGTCGGTCAGAAACACAGCAACGGCCTCAAACCAAAGCTAAGACTTCACCGAATCTACTAAACAAGTCTTTGCACCTGTTGCGAAGCGCTGAAAGGGCTCCGCGAGGTCCAGCCACAAGGGCATCGCCGTTTTAGGCGATCGTGTGTTGCTGCAGATATGTACATTAACATCAGTGAGCTCGCAAGGGCGCACGCCAATGAATACGGAAATGCCTCGGTGCATGCAGGAATGCAGAGTGCTCTAGACTTGCAGCACCTGTATGCAGCTGGGAAAATTCTATATCAACATGCAACAAACGTTGGTACAGCCGTTGCTCAGATGCTGCTACCGCTGATCTTTTGGGGTTGTTCGTTTGGGCTAATAACTCCATGCATTACTATAGCTTCAACTCGTTATACCTGTGTCTCGTCTGAGCAAAAGCCAAAATGAACGGAGACCTGTAGTGGTAAAACTATCCTCTAGAAGTCTGGGCGATGAAAAATCAAGTACCCTTTGTTAGGACATGAAAAGGTAGTGGCGCTTGTTTGGTACAAAAAAGAACCATGCGCACTGACCCACGAAGTGAACTTAAAAAAGCAACCAAGAGGGGATCTGCAGCTGCAGTTTGGTCCGTACACGACAGGCTCGGCGTGACTCAGGGAATCAAGATATCTCGGATCATTTGAGACCCATGATAAATACAGGAAGCCGCAAATTTCGTACGGCCTTCGCATCGTTGAAAGTAAAAATTCGGCTTGTTGCACTTGCAAGGAAAAAGAAAGTCGCAAGTCAGCTTGACGGTGGCGACGCATCAATATAGATGCTTCATTCTGAGGCCACACCCTCTGGAGTCCCCAAATTGACATGCAAGCTACGTGTGAGTAACGTGTATTTTCACGCCGGATAAAAGAGAGCACATCTCGTATGTGTTCCTCGTATTCGTTCATTCGTCTTCGCGCTTGCAAGAAATGATAAATAAAACACTAGCAAGGCATAAATATGAATCCACCGGACGAATGACTTTAGTCGTCTGTGGCTGAAAAACAACAAGCGCATCAAAAACCTTTGCAATTGCATGTGCTGCGAATCATGCCATTATGAAGATGTGTTTCTTGTCTACATCCAACTTTGGAAGATATCAGTGGCCCTTTACACAGGCAACCGCAAGCATTACTTTCCTAAGGGCTCACCGTAAACTGTCACAGCAACTTTGCCCTTGCAACGGGAAGCCGTCGGCCTTTTGAGCTCGAAACAAAAACGGTTTGCTTCCCCTTTCGGCGCTGAAGTACACATCAAATACTGCTTTAGTCATACACACTGAACAACAGACTCATAACTTTAAAAACCAGTACAGGGCATTGAAACATCCGCCGATTGTTGGAGCAGTGGACACTCCACAGAGGCTACCCGTGAAGCTTTTGAAAAAGCTTTGCTTGTGGTTACGCCTACCGCCAAAGTCTTGAATTTGGCCGAAAAGCGTCACAATCAAATCCTCAACCAGCATTTGGACATCTCGTCTGAACTGCACCCAAGCAAAACGCAAACTCCACACCAACTTGCAACGATTTTGCGAGGCCAGTTGGTGTCTAGACAAACCGTTACCGTAGAGGGAAAAAAAAAGCTAACCCGTTGGGCGTGCCTTCCGTCGAACCCTTTTTTAGGCGCTAATACCGTCCTAAGACGGGTCCACATGCTTGAAGTTTTCATTTCCTACACATAGGCACACAACAATTGATATGCTAGCAGCATCACCAATCTCTACCAAGCAGAGTCTTTGGGATGCGCATGTTGACACGTGTCTGCATGCATATGCAAGAAGGATGCAGTTCAAGAAGCCGGGGAAATCGACCAACTTACAAGCTCCTCCACTACAATGTGGAGAGTAGCCGATATGGTGCCGTTTGGGAGAACACATGGAGCGTGGAGACGGTCTGCAGGGAGTTCACATCGATTCGCAGAGATTGGAGCTTTGCTACAGAGCAAACTCTCGTAAATTGTCCGTAGGAAGGAGGCCCCCTAGTGTGTAGAGCTGGAGACAGAGTCAGTTGCATCCTTTTAGAATGTTCTCCCCTTCCAGGCCTGGTGCTGATTCTGTGCTGCTGGCAGTGCTTTAACCAAGTGCCATAGGCTTAGCAGGTCGCTGCATCACAGGCCTTACTGGAGACTCGATCCGGATGGGCCGAACAAAGACTACTCGCAAGCCGTCCAAGGTCCTTCAGCATATCCCGCAAGGCTTGGTTCCCCTGGAACGAGCAGAACACAACAGCAAATGGCAAATAGACGGGTACCGGCCGCTGAGCTTGGAGGCCTGCTGCAACCAAATAAGTCAAACCGACTGCGAGCTGAAATCATCCTCATCGCACGTGTTTCTAGCTGCAACAAACGCGGAAAGTCTGCTTGCAGCTAGTAGCCGTGCTCATCCTATCGCTTAGATATGCCTCGTTCCCGCTGCTGCACTGTAGGCTTACTGCTCCCTTCCCGATACGTGGAAAAGGGTAATGCTCCTCCAGATCTCTGTAGTGAGGCGATTCCGGAACCCCAATCATCATAATCGAGACGTTAGCAAAGTTAGCGCGTACCGATCGGCCGTCACCCATGTCGGCAGAGAATGTACTGCGATCTGCAGCCCTGACTAGTTGAGTTAGTGTCTCGGCAGATTCCAAACTTGCCAGAAAAGCCACTTCTTGGTCATTCTCTTCGACATCCATGTAATGGTGATATCCTGTTTCCGTGTCGTCCTGTTCTTCTGAATGAAAGCTTGCCCGGAAGAGTCTATCATTGTTGTAAACGCCGCTGACATTATCACTGTCCAAATCATCCGGCCGATTGTACTCTCCAAAATATAAGTACATGTCCGCCCATTCATCGCCATATTCGTATCCGGTGATAAATTCTTGTGCGTCTGCATCTCCGCTAAAAGGAAATCCTTGATCAGACAGTTGGAGAGCAGCAAATCTACTGCTGGCGTTGCTGGCAGCCGCATCCACATCTTTTTCTGTCTCTAGAGAACCAGTTCCTTCTGATGTACCTTGTCGAGCAGCACTTGAACCGGGCGGCAACGAATCATGTCCCTCAATGTTGGGGGCATTTCCGGGAGTGGCATCTGGTCTTGTTCCTCCCTCTCCCGCAGCTGCCCGCAAAAGAGCTGCGGCAGAAGTTGTCCCGGCTTGCTGCTGGCTCAGCTTTGCCCCTGTGCCATTCGTAGCATCTGGAGTCCCCACTTGTTTTGACAAAACATCTGATCCAGAAGTTTCAGGGCGTCGTGAGCTGCTGGGGAAGCCGCTGGGGGTACTAGCGGCGGCAGCTGCTGCTTCTCCTGCTTTCGAAGAAGTTGCGGGTGCAGGCCCTTCGAAGGACTGCGCTCCGCTGATGCTGCCAAAGCTCCCTCGGAAGATACTTCTGGACATTGAACCTATGCTTGGAAACCAAGTTGCTGATTCTGCATCTATCCAAAAGGTCCACTCCCTGGAAGAGCGATCAGGACCCGCTTCTGTTGCGCGACCGCAGTACTCTTCTTTCCTGGGGATCTGAGTCAGTCACAGGCAAGCCATGTAAGAGGCCACGTACACAAATCCGATAGTACGAGCGAGTCAAATATATCTACTAGTTTTATAGAGGACGGACACTAATTGGCCCATACCCACCTGTCGGGCCCTTTCTCTGCTCTCTTCGTCCCGCGGGCCCTCCGCGAGGCGACGACGAGACCTGGAGGAAAGTTCGGAGAGACGGAAGGCACATTTCAGCACGAGATATAGGAGAGCACTCGAGACAAGCAGTCCTAGAACAACAACAGCTCGCCAATACGTCGCAACTCGGGGCCGTTGCGGCTTTGGTTTGAGGTACGGAGCCCGGGAGAGTCCATCCAACCCAAGAGCTTCTGTAGCGCTAGTTAGCCAAGAATAAGCTTCTGTTGTTTCCATGGGTGATGCCTGAAGAAATGCATAGCTGGCGGCCACGCAGAACCGCAATAGCGCACTATCGTGTCCTGCAGTGACTCTCTCGAATTGGGGATACCAGGCTACTAGATCTGCCACATGCGTTTCTTTTGCATCGCAAGGCACGCAAGACCAAAGGGGACTTCCTCTGTGAAGATCCTTTTCCGCTAGCCGTGAGCCACAGCCACCTGCCGCCGAAAGCATGTAAGCAGTTTGATTTTGATATGGGCCCGAAGACACGAAAGGGACAACTACTGCAGTGCAATGCGCCTGAAGACTTGCCTGGGTGCCGAAGCCAATAGTTCAATGCTTGGTTTCGTGAAGACACTTGTGGGGAACGAAAGGCTCGGTGGAGGACCGCGAGCGCTCGTGGTTATATATTCCGCAGTAGACTGTCGCTATTGCTGGCACCTACAAATGTTGTATAAAAGCTGCGCTCTATCATTCGGGCGCGTCGTTCCAACGGCGGGGCTGCTGCTGAATCCGCAAATGAGGAGCAGTGTTAGTCTATGCGTTGCAGTGGGCTCGAGGTGAGTGCTCTCATACCATTATTCAAGTACTCAGAACACGTATACTTAGCTCTAAGACAAAAGGTCAATCCACTTTGCAGTATCTTTCATCTCGATGTGTGCTGTTTCTACGTTTGTTTCGCGTGCGTGGAGACAAGGTGCGCGGAGCGGGGCCCAGAGAGAATGGATCTGGTGCTAAAGAGACTAACACGAATTGAATGAAACCAACCAAGAACACCCTTTTCGTTTCAGTGATACTGATAATCTTATTTGGAGATTGCTCTTAATGCTCAAAACAGCAATGGAGTTTCGTAGCTCTATTCAACGCCGATTTCTGCTATTCCCATCTCAACTTCGCGTACTCTGTTATCTTAGGTGAGCTCAAGGACATCGCGGAGCAGTTCTCGACTGACATCCCACCATTCAATCCTCCTTAATTTTTTATCAGCTTTATACGGTCATCCGAGCATTAAACACACTGATTTCAAGTCCAAATCATTAGGTACTAATGCGAGGGGAAGTTCGAGCACACGCGAGGGGAGGAAAGTGGCTCACACATCGTGGTGTTGCTCTTTCTTCCAGTTTATATCACTCTAAGACGTGAAATATGACGAAGGTAAATGCTATCTGAGGGGAAAACGGTGAGCAGTGGGTCAAGCTGCCATCTAAGCGGAGTGGTCTCGAATTACTGGACTGCCCCAATTACTGGACTGCCCCATCCTGTGATTCACCCAAGCCGAAATTCCTTTTTGAAAGAAACAATAATTTGCTTCTTAAACATCATCAATATTCTGTCTGCGCTGCACAGATAAAACTAATGCCACGGCCACCACTGCAACAGTTGCTGTCACCGCCGATCGCTGGTGCGCACCAGCATGGCAGACAGTATGAGGCTGTTAAAGCTCCCCATAAAGGAAACGACGAACAACCAGCACGAAGCATAAGGCACATCTACTGAACAACAATATGAAGCACACAACTCAGCCACGGCCTGACACATTTCATGCCACGCTCCACACTAACGTGGACATATAACAAAAAAAGCCAAAAGCCACCCCCCCTTCGTCGGTCGATTTAGGCTTTTTGCTGAATGGTGCACATTAATGCTGATCTGGGATATACATTTTGGTGAAATACGGAGCTAGCAGCCACCAGCTATGCCCATCAAGCGAAGCGAAAGTTGTGGTTGCCGCAGAAGGACGCAGGTGTGGAGGCCTATATACGTGTCGCTGCTGGGTGCTCAACCGCTGAGTACATTGGCACCTTCCCAGTATGGCTGAATCAATAGAGGACTCAAGGGTCCCACCATGCCCCAGAGTGGTAATAACAGGCGGCAGTGCTTGAGCATGGAAGGCACAGCGAAGTGGCTCTGCGCAAATGGAAGGGAGGCCCGGAGCTTGGTCTTGACCCCTTTAACGGGGAAGCAACAAGCATATGTGGTGCTGTCTACCATGGGGTAGTAAATCGTGCCATTTGTTTTGGGCAGGGCCTTTCTCGCTAAACAGGCAATACCAGAACACGCAGAGCTTTTGTCTAGACACTGCTTTCCGCACTGAGCTTCTCCTCCTAGCCTCAGATACGCTCCACTCCTTATCTTACAACGTGTCTTCCTTGAATACATTGGTGTCTACTGACTCTAATCATGCAAGACAACTGACTAATCGTATTTTTTTCCGACTCATTTCATATTCATTAATATCTATACTACAGATTCACTATTGTTTGTAGTAACGAATTTGCTACTTTTTCAATCCTTAAAAGCGCTTCAGAATGCATTTATTGTACTAAACGAGTTTAGTCATGGCTCAGCAAAAGAGCGGAAGCCAGTAGCAGTGCAGCGCAAAGTTTCACTCGAAAGTAAACGGATCTGTTCCAAGCCTTGTAACGAGTGAGGGTCCAGTTTCAGTGCTGGTGGACCTTTATCCTGGGAGGGTTTCCAGCTTTAGTTAGCGGTCGCCTATCGCTTAGCACTTGCTGGGCCCATATATTACCCGGGTATACAGGCTGATTAGTGCAGCTCCACAAAACCTTGTCCTCCCCTGGGCCAGAAACAAATAGGAAAAAATTTTACCTATCTAGTTAGCTCAGCCCTCTTAATCAAGAGGAAAGGCACCTGGCTTTCTTTATGAGCACCTCATAATCCAAGGCAGAAAAGCTCAACAAGCGCTTGAAAATGTTTACCTGCAAGAAAGCTCATAAGCTAGTGCGCTGCCAGGCCTACACGGCCTACACGTACTACCAGTATGCAGCCAGCTGAAAACAACTATGCAAGCCACACGAAGGATCACACGATGCCAGCGCAGCAGAGGGATGCTCAACCACAACAGAAAGCCTTGCACAACGCAATGACTGACTGAAACCCCTTGTATGTACTGCACCCCGCATAGCAAAATTAATCGCTTTGTGCAAGCAGTGTTTTACTCTCCTTAGAGATGGAATACAAAGCCACTCAAGAGACACTCTTGATGGGCTGGCTCGTACCGCAGGTCGACATTCTGCAATGTGGCAACTATCGTCCCCCGTATTGTGATCTGTTTGTTTTTCACACGGATGCCGGTTACGTAAGAGCAAATTTGCAGAAAAGAAGGCCTCAATTCGTCGATAAAACAAGGTAACTGAATAGTCTGCACCTCCCAGTGCTTGAGCTCTAGGAATGGCTGTCATTTCGTGCTGAGTGCAAGCATTGCAACCCAAGGGAAGCAGATAAGTTAAAAGTTTTAAGAGCACAATGGTTCTGACTAGCTCTCTTATTACATTGCCTTTGTCACATTAAGCAATCATTTTATGCTTGGCGCATCGTTCAAATAAGGAGCCAAGGATCAAACTTTCGATCATTGTGCTCAGCGCTGGCAAACGCGTAAGAGGCCTGATTGTGTAATTGTTTTCGACGAAGTATATACTTGGCTGTACATCCCGCGTTCTAGTACATTTCTTGATATGCTCATGCCTGTGCGTGTGTATTTATGGGCACGAGTATCAAAGCATGCAAGCAAGTCGTCCATAGTACTCTTGCTTCAGAAATTGACCCAAATCCCGAATTTCTATGCATGGACACTGAGTCAGTTGCCTGTGAGGACAATGAGTCAGAAATTACTGGCGACACTATAGGGAACAAGCTGAGACAACAAAAGTAGAGAGCATGGCCTCCCCGAAGCTGTACGCATCATTTAGCACGTTTGTTTCTGAGTTGCTGAAATGGGAGCGCCAACGTGCCCAAAAAAAGGAGAGTGGCAAGATAACGGGTCCAGAATGGTTGCAGTGTACGACTCATGTATACGGACATATATGCAAGGATGTATAAACTCTGTAGGTAAGTGCTCTGTTTAGTTATAGCTGGTGGGCAGAATGCCATTCGCACTGCCAAGAAGAGCTTCTTCGGCACAGCCATGAAGGCAGCAGAAGCCCTGCAACGATAAACATATTTAGGTCAGTGGAATAAATTGAGGATCTGAACGCTGGTTTTTTGTGAGGTTGGGTTGCTGCTATCTCAGCTGAGCAAAGGGCTTCTACATCGATAGTGGCATCCACTGTGCTGCTTGATGACAAAGAGTTTGGAACGACCCCGCGAGCCAGGCTCCGCTCGCATTGCAGGTGGTCAGGGAATATCTAGTGCAGAGGGTACGGCGTGACACTACTAGCGAAGTGTAGCCATTCGGTGCTCTATAGTGGTGTGACTTACGTTTAGTTAGACTTCCCCGCTCCTCCATCTTGCTAGGGTCCAGGTTCGCCTTTGGTGCCCTACACTCCCTTCAAGGAGACTTTTCTACAATTTTGCAACTTCCCTGGAATCCATTTCCAGGGTGTCTATAAGATTCCTGCACCGCCACCATTGAATCGGACTAACGTTTTGACAAATTCTTCACACGCAATTTTTGGCAAAAGAATATGCAGAAGATCAGCAGCAATAAAGGCGCAATTATCTCACTGCATGCAAATAGGAACAGCCATTGCTGTGGGGCCCCCAAAATTCGGAAGGCCCTCGTGGGCCCCCACGTCCTTCGTAACCCCCGGAAACTCCGGCAAAAGAAGAAATGCAAGGCTGATACTTAGTTGGGAAGCAACTTCTGAAGTATGTTTTTAGCCCCTTTAAATAATTTTCCACACCTCTTAGCAGCTTGCAAAGGTGGCACCAGCGGGCGAAGGAGCATCGAGACCAGCGGCTATGTTGCTCGGTTCCTGTTGCTCATGTTAAAGCAGCAGCTTAAAGAGTCAAACAAGGAAGGCAACGTTGCCGTTGCGGCTACAACTGTAACCTAGCGGCTGAAGCAGAACCAGCAACAGTGACCCAGGCAAGCGATGAACCAGCAAGTAGAGTTGCAGCAGCGACAACGAGTCCCGCACCAGGTGTTAAATTGAAACATCAGGAGCGCCTAATATACAGAACGCAGCACTGAAGACCTGCAGTCAAAAGCACTGAATCATTGGGCCTCCATGGGGGGCCCCTCAAGTGGCAGGGCTGCCCGCCAGCGGGGCCAAGCTCTGCGCGTTTCGTACGGGGATCTTGCTGCAGGGCCCCCTGTAGCAGCAGCAGCAGTAGCGCCCGCTACTCCTGCAGGAGCATCTGCTGACGCACCGGACTCCAGGCCTTGGGAGACGCAGAAACAGCTGCCGCAGCGGCAGCAACAGCAGCAGCGGCGGCAACACCATGAACTTCAAAACAAGCGCAGAAAGCAAATGCATATTCAGCAACAGCAA